AGTGCCATTTGTTGAAAAGACTGCCCTTTCGGGGCGCCTGGGCAGCTCAGTGGGTTAAAGCCGCTGCCTTCGGATCAGGTCAGGATCCCGGGGTCCTGGGATCAGGCCCCACATCAGGCTCTCTGCTCAGCAGGGAGCCTGTTTCCCTTCCTCTTTCTCTGCCTGCCTCTCTGCCTACTTGTGATCTCTGTTAAATAAATAAATAAAATCTTAAAAAAAAAAAAAGAAAAGAAAAAGACTGCCTTTTCCCCATTGAATGGTCCTGACCCCATTGTTGAAAATCATTTGACCACGTATGTGAAGGTTTATTTTGGGACTCTGTTTTACTCCATCGGACTCGTGTCTTGACATCATGCCAACATTACTCTTTTAATTATTATGGCTTTGTAGTAAGTTTTGAAACCGGAAGTGTGAGTCTGCCAGGTGTGTTTTTCTTTTTCAAGATTCTTTTGCCTATTTTGGGCTCGAGGAGATTCCATACAGATGTTAGGATTGGTTTTTCTGTTTATACTGCAAAAAATGTTATTTTTCAATAGGGGTTGCGTTCAATCTGTAGATCACGTTGGGTAGTACTGACACCTTAATGATATTAAGTCTTCCAATCCATGAACATGGATATCTTTCCATGTATCTATTTCTCTCAGTTCTTTCAGCAGTGTTTTGTAGATTTCATTGTATAAGACTTTCATTTCTTTGATTAACTCCTAAGGAGTTTTTTTTTTTTAGATTTGATTATAAATATAATTATTTTTTAAATTTCCTTTTCAGATTGTTCACTGTTAGTTTTGATTTACAGACAAGTTGTAAAGATGGTACAAAGAGCTCCCACATACCCCTGCTCCTATTGGAATGTTTATACCCTCCTCAAATTTATATGTTGATATCCTAATGCTCAACGTTGATAGTGTGCAGAGGTGGGGCCTTTGGGAGGTGATTAGTCATGAGGATGGAGCTGTCATGAGTGGGATTAGTGCTCTTACAAAAGAGACCCCACAGAACTCCCTAGCCCCTTCCACTATGTGAGAACACAGCGAAGAGGCACCATCTATGAACCCAGGAAGCCTTGTCTATTTGTAAACTCCATGAAGTCAAGGGCCACAACTGCCTTAGATGCTCCCATAGCCCCAGAATTTAGAGACGGTGATGTGCTAGGCCAGGGGCCAGCAAACTACACACTACTATAAGAAATAGTAGGGTGCCTGCGTGGCTCAGTCGGTTAAACATCTGCCTTCAGCTCAGATCATGATCCCGGGGTCCTGGGATCAAGTCCCATATGGGGGGGGGTCCCTGCTCAGTGGGGATCCTGCTTCTCCCTCTCCCTCTGCTGCTCCCCCTGCTTGTCTCTATCTCTCTGTCAAATAAATAAATAAAATCATTAAAAAATTAGTAAATATTTTAGGCTGCAGGTTGAGAAGAAAATCAAAGACGTGGCTGCTTCCATGATAAGGGAGAAAACTATTCCCACACATTTGATTAACAAAATTAAAAATATTATATCGAGTTGAATTTTTCTGTCATACGGGTCTATTAATGAGAGGGATGGAATTCTTTGGATGGGGGACAACAATTGGTTTTACTGAGGTTCAGAGTTAGTCTTCTCTACTGTCAAAATCTGTTGCAAATATTTTATTATTTTTTTTAAGATTTTATTTATTTATTTATTTGACAGAGATCACAAGTAGGCAGAGAGGCAGGCAGAGAGAGAGGGAGGAAGCAGGCTCCCCGCTGAGCAGAGAGCCCGATGTGGGGCTCGATCCCAGGACCCTGGGATCATGACCTGAGCCGAAGGCAGAGGCTTTAACCCACTGAGCCACTCAGGCGCCCTTATTATTATTTTCTAATATAGAATCTATACTCATTGGCTATTGAGGCAGCAGGTCAGATGGGGCTCACAGGTGGTGGCTGTTTGCTGGCCCCCTGTGCTAAGCCATCGATGCACTTTTGAAGGGGAAAATAGAAATCTGAAAGGGAGAAGAAAGGAAATGCTCCCGGTCTGGGTATTATCTGTCGTGGGGACACAAGGTGCCTCGAGTGTTGCTGCGTCAGCAGTTTATAGCCAAGAGGCAGGGATATTGCCCCTGCAGCTTGGAAATATGAGACTGTGAAGCTCTGGAAGAGAAAAAATGCACCGCACAGCCTTGTTTAGGAAGACTGGAGATGGTCCAGCTTTGGAGCGGGGATCACTCTGTCACTGCCCCCCGTGGCTGAGGGAGCCCCAAATGACAGCCTCAAACACACACCCTTGTTCCTGGCAGGAGCTCTGCTGCTTCCAGATGGGGGCCTGGTGGAGTTCACTACTTCCCCTCTGGGAGCAGGTTCCTGGGTCTGGGGTTGGGGCTGTTCGGAGAGGTTTAGAAACAGTAAAGCCAACAGGTGGATGTCTGCCTGCTTGGCAGACAGGCTTATTCCCCCCACTTCCTTCCTTGGGTGAGAGATTGTGGCTCCCAGGACAGAAATGTAGGTCGCAGAATGACATACGTGGGGAGCCAAACTGCCCTTGAGCTTGTGCGTGCTCTCACGTGGCCTGCTTCCTGCTTCCTGCAGGGCCCACCTGCCGCTCAGGTCTTCTCTGTGGATCCCAGAGACTATGAATGCCCCCAAAGTTGAGTACTGAACTGCAGTTACCTTTGAACAGATAAGATTGGGCAGGGTTACGGAAGGCACCTGGGTGGCTCAGGTGTCCATCTGTCTGGCTGTTCATTTTGGCTGGGGTCATAGGATCAAGTCCCACGTCAGGCTCTCTGCTCAGCAGGGAGTCTGTCTAAGATTCTCTCTCCTTTTCCCCTCTAAAATAAATAAAGACATCCTTTTGTTTTGTTTTGTTTTAAGATTTTCTTTATTTACTTGAGAGAGAGAGTAAGAGAGAGCATGAGAGGGGAGAAGGTCAGAGGGAGAAGCAGACTCCCCATGGAGCTGGGAGCCCGATGCGGGACTCGATCCCGGGACTCTGGGACCATGACCTGAGCCAAAGGCAGTAGCTTAACCAACTGAGCCAGCCAGGCGCCCTAAACAGATAAATCTACAAGAAAAAACCAGATTGGTTTCTCCATGGCTCCCAGCCCGAGACGAGGGAGGAAGGCACCTGTCCTACTAGATGGGGTGGGGGAACATCCCTACTTCAGAAACGCCCCAGTTCCGATGCTCAGCTTTGAGGGATGAGCAGTTCTGAGCCCAGCATGTTCCGCTGTGCACAGTCCTCTGGGTCACGCCTCAAGTGCTCCCAAAGGACGCATCAGCTGCTCCCTCCAGGAAGTTCCTCGAAATGCAGTCAATTCCAGGAGCCGAGACTGTGGCAGCCACAGAGTCGCTAACAGGGCGTTGAGCCACAAGCACAGAGTTGGAGTCTGCCCTTCACGAAGGGTGCAGAGCATCTCAGGTGCCCCTGCCCAGAGAGGCACCCCATGGAGACAGAGTTCAGGTACAGAGAGCAAAGCTAGGGAGCCAGCAGCTGGGGGATGTAGCCAGCCATGTGACCGTGGCCCCAACCCCATCTAACTGTCCAGGGGCACCTGGCCTGGGCTCTGGGTTAGACACCTGGGCTCTGCCACTTGCTCCAAGTCCCATCTTTTAGTCCCTACCCTGAGATCACCAAGATCTGCGGAGAAGCCCTCTGGCCCGTGACCCCACCGGCGGGGAGCATGCGGCACCCTCATTATCGCCGCCGTGGAGGAAGTTAGATGGAGCGCACGTTTTAGTACAAGTGGTTTATTTCTCCCCAGGCGAGGGCACACACGTATCAAGCGGAGGCAAGCCCACCTGGTCCTTCAGGAACCACCGAAGGAGTCTAGTTTAGTTTACATGCATTAAAAACAACTCTACGGTCGCCAGCAACAAAATGTTAAGAAGCAACGTCGTGGCGTTGCGGGCTTCCTATCTGCATGCGATGGGGTCATACGCGGACACATTTATGGTACAAGGTATTTCTAGGTTAGCGCAGGTGAGGTAAGAGTCCAGGCGGTCCTGGGCCCTGTTGGGTCACAGAGGCTTGGCTGGGCGCTGGGAGCCACTGCTGTCAGCATTCTGATGGGAAAGGAGGTCTTCAAAAACGGAAGTGGAACCCTTGTCCCCAGCAGGGTCACCCCGTGTCCCTGGCTCTGGGTGTGCAAGGCGGTGGGGGCATCAGTGTTGTGCGCTGAGTTGACAGGAGATGAGAAGCACCAGAGACCCTAACCCTGGACCCTCAGCAGGCAGGACGGCGGGTCATTATTTCCTCCTGGCCAACAAACGCCTCCTCACGGAGCAGGTACAGCTTATCCGGGCCCCAGACAACAGGCTGGCTACAGGGTTGGGGGAGGGGAAGAGGCCTGCCTCAGGTCAAGACACGACCATCCCACCTTGCTAAAACCTTTAAGACAGAACTGCTTGAAGACCAAAGGGAGGGGCAGTTCACCTGGGCAGTCCCCAGAACAGGGGGGTGCGTGCGGGGGTCCCTCTTAGCTTCTTTTGGGTCTTAAAGGGCCTCCCTCCTTGAATGGGATGAACCCACCTCCCCATCAAGCCTCAGCTTGGGACAGCAGGTCTCAGGGACCAGGACTTTAAAAATCCTCCCTTCCTCCAGACCCTCAAAGAACTGATGCCAGCAACACCTGACAAAGAATGGTATTCAACCCAGGGGGAAGGAACGCGCCCCAGACCTCTTGTAAAAACTGGATGTGCTAGGAGTTTCAATTCTTTGGATCATCACAATATTTAAAACACTTGGGGTGGGGGGAAGAGTTAGTGTCACTTTCAAAGTGTCTATTAATGCCTGAGACTGTCCCTATCCGTAGTGAACCAACTCACAGCATCGATTCTGGAATGGAGGAGAGGCAGTGGAGGGCGGCAGAAGAGAAGGTGGGTGGGCTGTGGCAACTGTCACTCACCTTCCCAAGGGGTCTCCCTGCGGAAAGCCTGCCGGGGATGCGGCTGTGGCCACCCCCCAGCCCTGGGCCCATCCCCTGCACGGCTCTCCAACACCCTCGGAACGGCCAAGCACCCCGGGGGGCATGGCCTGCGTGGACAGGAGGGCAGAAGAGGGAGAGGCCGGCCCGGGGTCATGGGTCTTCTCTCTGCCGGGGCCTTGGGTCAGGCATCTCAGCCGAGCTCAGGTGGATTCTCCCTGAATCGCTGATGCGCGGGGGCAGCCTGCCCATCCCGCGGTCCTGCCCCCGGCCTCCAGATGCCTTTGGTTTCTATTAAAGAAACACAGCTTGTGCCGGGATTTGTTAAAAACCAGAACGGATGAAGGAGGCAGGAACCTCTGCAGAAAAGTGCGTTAGGCTGGAAAGTCATTGCCGTAGTGTCTCAGGTGCTCGTCCGCCACGGACAGGTAGGTGGCCCTCATGCTGGGAGAATACTGTGGGAGAGAGGGGGAGGGGCACGGTCAGAACAGGGTCACACGGTACATTCAGAGCAGACACTGCGCTCGCAAAGGTGCGGGCACTTCTTGGGGAGCCAGAGCAGGAGCCAATCTTTGTCATAGGCATTTTGGGGGGACACTAGAGTGGCTCAGGCAGGCTTCATTGTTGGTGATGCCTCCAGTCCCGGGATCACCAAGGACATGGGGGTCCCAGCCTTAAATGCAAGGCGCACACACAGATCAGCCACCCTCCCCCTGCTATGACAGCCACAGCCACTCCAGGGCATGGGACAGTGTCAGGGTGCACCAGTGCACTGGGAAGCCTGCCTAGTGAACAGGCTGAGGGGAACAGGCCCCTAGAATCAGAGACCCACGTTCAAATCCCAGTTATGCAGCTTATCCATCCCATGACCTTGGCTAAGGCTCTCCGACCGCTGCGAGCCTCAGTTTCCCCGGCCAGCAGAGGGACCCGAAAGCCCTCAGCAGTTCCCGTGGGAGGATGGAGACCATCAGACAGGCGAGACCCGTCGCACAGCGGTTCTCACGCTTGGCTGTGTGTTACAAACTTGGCTGCGTCTAAAAAAACATCCTGATGCCCGGGCCCTACCAACCAGTGATTTTTTTTTATTGAGGTAAACCCACATCACATAAAACTCAGCATTTTAAAGTGCCACCAGCATTTTTTTTTTTAAAGCTCTCCCAAATGCAGCCAAGTCAGAGAATCAGTGACCTAATGGAAAGTTCTCAACAGGTGTTAGCTAGCTGCTGCTCCGAAGCGGGGAGATAGGGCTCCCCACATTACCTCATCTCACATCCCAGGCCCTGCTTCTGCATTTCTTTTTTTTAAAGATTGTATTTATTTGATGGACAGTGCAAGTGGGGGGGAAACAGGCTCCCTGGAGCCTGGTGCAGAGCTCGATCCCGGCACCCTGGGATCATGACCTGAGCCGAAGGCAAGCGCTTAACCCACTGAGCCACCCAGGCGTCTCTGCTTCTGCATTTCGAACGGGCTCCAGATGCTTTGGGTCTGCTGACTCGGAGTAGCAGGGTTAGTCCAGCAGGAAGGGCCCTGAGTATCTCCTGGCCCAGGGAAGTTTTGTGGGTTCAGGTCCAGGCTGTTCACAGCAGAGAGGGGAGCACACGCTCCCAGCTGGCAGAAGCCCTTTAACCCAGTGGTTGGTAAGCAGGGGTGATACCTGGCAATGTCTGAAGACATTTTTGTCTATCCCAACTGGGGAAGAGGGAGACTTAATTGGTATCAAAAAGGTAGAGGCCAGGGATGCAGGTAGACATCCCACAGTGCCCAGGACAGCCCTGTCCTCCAGATGGACCAAGCCCATCAATAGTGTGGAGGGAGAGGAAGCCTATGCCAGACCCAGACCCAGACCCGAGGTTCTCCGCGGAGCTTCCCAGACCTGCAGCCTCAGCTTGACGGGGCCCCAGCCCATATTTCCCGAGTCAGATGCGGGGAGTGGGGTACAGCAGGAGCCTGGGTTGCAACAAGGCCTCCGGGTGATTCTGGTGCACACCCCAGGGTAAGCATCTCCTTGAAGCACTATTGCCCAAACTTCCTTGAGGCTCCACTGGCTGCTTGATAACACTCAGAACTTTCCAGGCGCCTTCCTGGGATTGTCTGCTCCAGTGAGTCTGGAGTGAAGTCCTAGCATCGGTATTTTAAACAGTTGCCTGGCTCACTTTTGTCCGTCCAGTCTAGGACACAGTGCCTGAGAGGACACGAGGGGTTCCTCAAAGGGAGAGCTGGGGGAAGGCACGTTTCCAGCCAATGGAACAGGCTGTCCATTCTGACTGCCTGGTTTGCCATCATTCCCCAGAACGAAATCCCCATTGGTCCCAGAGATGGGGCTGGAAGAGGAAGGGATCCAACCAAACGTCACGCTTGCCCAGTACAGAGCAGGTGCAGGGGGAGGGCAGGGGGCGGACGGCCATGCTGTCCACTGGGGTGGATGTCCACATTCTCATGCTGGGGGTTCCTTGGTCAGCAGCATCCGCTGATGCCTCTTCGAGCCCCTTGCATGGCAGGAGGTGGGGGAGAGGTCCGCCCTGGGGCCAGTAGGGCCACCAATTCCCCCAAAGCAGTGAGAGTCCCCAGGCAGGTGACTCTAGGGAGAAAAGTGACCTCTGTCCTCCAGCCTCGAAAATAAGGCCAGTTCTTGTTGATCTCCAGGAACGGCAGGGAGAGTGGCCTGGATCTTTCCAAACAGAAGGTAATCCAAAAATCATTTTTATTTGGCATCACGATGCATAGAGTCATTCATTACTCACAGATCTCCCCCCAGTGATGTTTTGCTCAGATGATTATTACAATCACCCTGTATTCCTGGGTCTACAGCAGCTGCCGGGAGGAAAACGAACCCAGGAGGCTTCCAGGTGGAGAAAGCCAGGCTGGGATTTAAGAGGTGCCTACTCGGAACTGTGGGCTCCGACCGGCCCCCTCATCCCTTCCTGAGGACCTCAGGAAGCAAGGGCTATGCCTGGGTCTAGGGCTGTGCATAAAAAGACAGCATGTGGGGTGCCCTGGGCACAAAGAGCAAGATGGGGTCGTGCTGGAAAAGATGGGGGACCGGTCAGAGCAGGGTCTCTCAACCACGGTGCTGGGGACATTTGGGGCTGGATCATTCTTTGTGCTCTGGCTATCCTGTGTGCCCTACAATGCTGAGCAGCGCCCCGTCCCTCGCCCACTACACGCCCGTACCACCTGCCCATGGACTGTGACAACCAAAAATGCCTACAGACAGCCAAGTGTCACCTGCGGGCAAAAGTGCCTTTGTGTGAGAACCCTGCTCAAAGGTGTGGCCGAAATGCTACCTGCAGCACGGGACCACCTGCGACCGCACAGTGCAGCAGGGACACCTCCTCCCTCCTCCCAAAAGCCCTTATTGCAGGAGCCACTTTCCTGGGCCTCCTCCTCCCCCAGCGACAGGTTGCACACTTGCCGGAGACAGACGCTAGGTGTCCTCCTCTTTCCCAAGTGTTTGGGGCTGCTTCACCGGATATGCCTGCCTGGTTCTCGGGATCCAGGCACATGTCGGCAGCCCCGTGTCCCAGAGTCCAGTGCTTCTAGTTTGGCAGCAGGACGGCCCTCCCAGACCCCCTGAATTCAAATGCCTTGTCCCTCTCTGATAGACACCTGGCTGCAGGACTCTCTTGGGTACCCACCCCCATTGCAGACTTCGACCTTGTTTTCCACTCCCCCTAACACCCATTTCCTATAAATCCCACAGCTTGTGGGGAAGGTGGTGAAAGATACAGTCAGGAGCTCCTCTTAGAGCACCTGCAGGCCCTCCTCCCCCATTTATAGTGACCGAGATTCCAATGCTCGCCACCACCCTGAAGTGTGCCCCGTTACCATCCCCACTCCACGGGCGGGAAAACTGAGGCACACAGAGAAGAAGTGCTTGTCCAAGGTCATAGAGGTCTTAAGCCAAGATCTGGGTGTGAACCCAGGCATTTGGCATGGGAGTCTGTGCCCTTGAACCCCAAAGTCTACTGTCTCTACTGGTAGTCATGTCCTTTGGGAGAGGACAGAGCCTTTTCTCTCGAACGTGACCCCCTCATGCCACCGGCTCCTGCCCCAAGCAGTGACTCGGTTCCTTGGCTGGACGTGGGTGTGGGCGTGGGCGTGGGGATGTCCCTACCAACAGCAGAGCTGAGGGGCTGGAGGAAGGCTGGTGTCCCAGCCACCACGGGGGCTCTAGCCGCAGCCCAGGGCAAAGACCCAACAATATCCCCGGAGCAAAAAAGGGACGCTCTCTCTTCTTAGATTAGTTCTCTCTCTTCTAGATTATTTTATTTAGCAAACTTATCACTGTAAATGACTTCTTGGTCCCTCTGAGATGTATATAAACCTTTTTAAAGGCTAAATTGGGCTCTTGCCAGCTTTACAATCCAGGAATGTTTTCTTAGGGTCTGGGAGGCATCTCACTGGAAGGTAAGCATTAAGGAGGACCGTCTATTGCTGTGGCAATTAGGGACACTGACGGCCACCCTAATTAGCACATACTTAGGACGGCCTGGTGCACAAAGGTGCTGTGGAGTCTTGCTTGGGGACAGGCGTGCCCTGGGGTGAGCTGTCTGGCCACATGGGGGTGAGCTTTCTCTCTCTGCAATGTCTTTAGCGGCCTGTCTGTGACCTGCATGGCCATCCGGTGCAGGAACTAAACTCTTCTGTTTTTTCCCACCTCTGTGGGGGGGATTCCCTGGACTGGCAGAAGTCTTATCTTTACTCATTTCTCCACAAGGGCCACAGCTGTGATTTTGCCCGGAGGGCCCAGGTTACCGTGGGAGGAGGGGAGCCTCTTCCAATGAGGGGCACGTTCTCGTAGCGTGGGTTCCCGCCGAAGAGCATGGCCTGGTTCCTGCAGGGGTTGAGGGGAGCGCTCAGCAGGGGGAGGCATGGGGATGGGGGCGGGGGTGCTCGCGTTTGGACAGGAGGGGCCCATGGGTGCGCACGTGCGAGGAGGGGGATGCCAACGGACCACGGAGGGCGTGTGGGCAGGAGAGCTCAGGGAGGCCCAGGGGAGAAGCAGCGGCCGGGGTGCCAGGGGCCAGCAGCAGCACAGCCCGGAGAGATGCCGCTCCTGGGCCCTCTGATCTGCCCTGAGGGTCTGCCGGGAAAGGCTTGGTATCTACCAAGGGCTATTCCTCAGGCAGAAGTGCTGGGGTGGACCCTGGGGCAGCAGTGGGGGGCCGCTGCGGGCCTCTGACGCCTTCCTCCCCCCATGGCTCTCTGAACCTCAACGTGCGGTCCTCGGATCTAGCTCCCTGAGGGCGGGGCCCCAGCTGCGATGTGCGGGGGCAGGAAGGGGGCGCCCCGGGAGCCCGTGACGTACATGTACTCCGAGACTGGGGCGTTGGAGATGGTCTGAGCCGGGGGCTGCAGGCTGGTCTGGCTGCCCAGGCCGCTGCTGTAGCTGCAGAAGCTGCGGAGCTGCCCCCGGGGTGGGTTGTGAGCTGCCATGCGTCGGGCCTGGGGGTTGAACGGGTCGTCACTGTCGATGTCATCGTAGTCTCTGTCCCTAGAATAACACACAGGACACAGCCGGCTGTGAGGGCCGAGGCTCAGAGGCAGGCGGATCCAGGCTTCCTTCCCAATCTTTGCTGCCAGAACTCTGTGGCTACACGTGTTTGCATCAGCTTCCTGTACAGAGATCACCAGTTCCCAGCTTCATGCCCACCTCCTCCAGGTAGCCCCCCATGTTGACCCCGTCACACCGACCCTCCCTTCTCTGCTACCTTTTGTCCGATCTATCCACATGCACTGTAATACCATCTCATCTCTACCTCCTCAATGCGAACGAAGGTGCCCTGCTCACAGGGCTACAACCTATCCCTCTTGGTATTCTGGGGGGGCCCCTACGGCACCCAGAGCCCTCATCATCTCATACCACAATGTCCTGCAGAAGAAGACAGGACAAGCAAGGGATGCCAGGCTGTGGTATGACATTGTCACCATCCTCAGCTTCGCTCCTGCCCTGGCCCCTCGGAGCCTCCTTTTGGGAGTCTGTCTGGACTCTCAGGGAAGCTTCTGCAGTGATCCAGCCAGCCTGCTGGGGCTGAATGCCAGGCTGCCCCTGCCATCGTCCCAGATTACCAGCTCCGGGCTCCGTCTCAGAGCAGAGCTTCTTGCCTGTTCCCCCAGGAAGCCCCGGGCAGCCCACCTCGTGGTGAAGTGTTTCCAGGCCCTCGGTCCTGCACAGATCATGGTGGAGAAGGCCAGGGCAGCCAGGAGGGAGAAGAGGGCGAGGTACAGCAAGCCTTCGATGCCATCATAGCAGATGCCATTAAGGGCGTCCAGGTAATCCTATAGGAGGAGGAAGAGGGACAGGTAGCTGGAAAGCAGGTCAGGCCACAGCCTGGGGTCTGAGCAGGTCTCTGAGAGCCCGTCTCCCCAAGCCTGTGTTTGCAATTGTCTATCTTTCCCCCTCCTGAGCACTCTGTACAGCCCAGGCAGGGCCCACACTCTGGGGCCCAAAGAAGGGGCTTCTTGGGTTCACTCCATAAGCAGATGCTAACCACCTACTGTGTGCCAAGCATGCAAGGGTCAGCTCTGAGTGAGACAGACACAGCTGCGGGGCTGGGGAGCCAGGAGCCAGGGGACATTTAGTCTTAGACCAGGTGAGAAGGAACAGCTTGTGCCTTAAGCTGACGAGGGAAGGGGACAAGAGGGGCACATTCAGGAGAGAAGAAAGGCCAGCGGGAGACAGGGTGGAATGGGACCAGGTCACACTAGGCCTTGCAGGCACGTGAGGACTTCGCATTTGATCAGAAGGTAATGGGGTGTGACAGAAGGGAGGTGACCCAACCAACTTTTACAAACACCACCACTGTTGCTGTGAATGAAAGGTCATGGGAGGTTCAGGGGGCAAGAGAAGGGGGGGCAGCCAGGAGGCCACGGCTGTCACCCAGGGAAGGGGGGTGGTCCTTGGATCATGGTGGAAGTGGGGAAAGGAGAGCAGTGGTCAGATTCAGGATACGTTTGAGAGTCTAGATGCTACAACTTGCTAAGGGATCCAATGTGGGTGTCTGGGAGGGAGAGGGTACATGTTCTCGGCTCTAGTCAGAGTGCCAGGGTCCAAACCCAAGCTCTCGACTTGAGGGCTCTGGAACCTTCCGTGAGCTACTTTACAGATCTATGGATATCTACCTATCTATCCATCCATCCATCCATCCACCCACACACACAGTTTCCTGACCTATAAAACTGTCCATGAAATAACATGTATTTTACGACATTGACAGGGACAACTAATGATATGGTGGATACAACCGGCACAAAACAAGGGTGAGCACTTGGCCTCACACGGCAGCCAGGAACATCCTATGAGCCTTCATGCTAAATCCGTACGGGATGGGAGAAGTGTCCACATGCACTGGCTTACTGCCTGGGGGGAGGAGGGGATGCACATATGCCCAGAGCGCTCCTCACATTCGAGGCTGTCTGGCGTTCCAAGTTTTTGGAGAGGTGACCCCGGCAAGGAGCGGGGAGCGTCCACTCGCAGCCAGGGAGATGGACGGGCTGACCAGATGGCCGGGAGTCTGGAGTCTGGAGAAGGGCCTCCCTTATGCAGGTCAGGATCCCCCAACGTTCTAGAGCTAGCCTGATCCAACCCTCCTATCCCTGTCCCTTGGTACCTTTCACGGACTTTCCCTGTCTTAGCTACTTGGGAGAATCAAGAAGCCAGACACCCCTCCTGCCTTCCTATTGTTCAGCTGCTGTGCCATGCCGGGGCCTGCAGGGAGCCCCGACAATCACTTCCCTGGCCCCTACTGGCTGCTCTCTGGGAACAGAACATGTGGCCTGCCAGGGTACCCTGTCCCACCTGCCACCCGGGCCCGCCCCGGCACCTTGTGCAGCCCTCGGCAATCCAGCATGGCCGTCAGCTGGTGGAGGCCGGACTCGGAGGAGTTCAGCAGGAGCTGGATTCCCAGCAGGTCCTTCTGAAGCAGACAGACACGCAGAGAGGCAGACAATGAGCGGCAGGGGCGGGCTTGTGGCTAAAACCGCGAGCAGCCGGGTGGGCAAAGAGGCCAGGGAGGGCCCTCCTCAGCCCGGCTCCGTGAAGCCCCGGGGCTGAGGACGGGGAGGTGCGGGCAGCGGGAGGGCTGTCAAGGTCCAGCGGGGGTGCCCCCGCTCCCAGCACAGACGCCGCGGGAGGCGGGCCGCCTTACCTCGGCCGTGGGGAAGAGAGGCACGGCAAACTGCAGCAGGCCGGCCACCTGGCTCTGCATGGTGGTGAGCGAGCGCTGGGAGACGGTTAGCACCTGGCCAGGAGAGACCAGAGAGACCACAGCCCTGCCCTGAGGCTCCGCTTCCCCTCCCCAGCAGCCCTGCCCCCATCCCTGCCCCGCCCTGCACCCCTCGGGCTTCCTGCCACTCCCAGTGTGGTCCCCGGACAAGCAGCCCCGGCCTCACAACGAAGGGAAAAGCCCCCAGCCACCTACAGGTGCTGGGCTTCGGGTCCAGAGGGGGCGGTGGGCAGGGTGGGATACCTGCTGGAAGGGGCTGCTTCCACTCTGACCGCAGTAGAGGTAGTAACGGGTCACTTCTGCAAGGCAAAGACGGGGGATCAGGCGGGAGCTCACGAGTGACCAGGCCCTCACTCCCCTCAGCGGCCCAGCCAGGCCCCGAACGCCCCAAGGAGGGCCCTTGTAACAAACGGCACAGAGGTCCAGCTGGAGCGAAAGTGTCGGGGGGCTGGGGGTGGGGAGGGGTTCGGTAACGACAGGGCAGCGAGGTCCGGCCAGCCAGGGGCCTGGTCTGAGTTTCCGGAGCGGCTCGGACAGCAGAGGCCCCGAGGTTCGTTACCTGGGCGGACCTGGCCCTCGGTGATGTTCAGGAGGAAGGTGTCGGGATCGGAGCAGAAGTCACCGGTGCCCTGAGACAGGGAGGGATGGAAGAAAGTTCTGACACCAGGGCCCTGCTGGAGCCGGTGCCCTCAGGCCCAGCCGCTCAGACTCCTCTGCTCCGTCCTCCCTGGGCTTGAGTCCCACTCCCTTCCTAGCTCTGTCAGTTTGGGCAAGTCACTTACTCTTCCTGTGTCCCAGCTGCCTGAACTCGGACAGAGAAACACTACCCACCCCGTAAATTCACGGACGTAAAAAACACCGAGGCCAGGCTTCTGGCAGCATCAGCTCGTACTCTGTCTCTGAAAGCTGCTTCTGGGACGGACCCCAGGGCCCGAGCACCTCTGCCAGGCGTGTCGGGGTGTGACTGCACCGTGGCCTTCATTCATTTTGGTTTTATTTTTGGCCTTGCTGTTATCAAGCCCCACATACTTTGGGGTGCCGATCCATGAAGCATCCCCGGGACTCTCTTCCTAAAGAATTATGTCAGGGATGCCTGGGTGGCTCAGTGGGTTAAGCATCTGCCTCTGGCTCAGGTCATGATCTCAGGGTCCTGGGATCGAGCCCCGCATCGGGCTCTCTGCTCAGTGGGGAGCCTGCTTCTCCCTGCGCCTCCTGCTCCCCCTGCTGTGTTCTTTCTCCCTCCCTCTGACAAATAAATAAATAAAATCTTAAAAAAAAAAAACACTGAAAAACCGATAACAACAACATTGAAAGAATTACGTTGGCCCCGAATCCATCTCTGAGCTGTGGGTATGGGTCCTGCTGAGGATAAGATGGAGGACTGGGAGGAGTGGGGGGCTGGGAGTTAGGGGACACAGACTCCGGGCTCTGCCACCATGAGCTAGAGGGCTTGGACCCCATAGTGTGGCCTGGAGAAGTGACCGTTAAGGGGCTATGGGCTGTGTGGGAGCAGGAACCCTCCCCCTGGGATTGGTGGGAGCAAGGACCCATCCCCTGGGCCAGGCCCCTCTCAGGTCCAGCCTGGGGGTACAGTGGGACCCCCGGGGAAAGGAGGGCTTCCATCTTTCAGAACAGCCAGGGGGAAGCTCTGGCGCTCCAACTTGTTTCTAGGGGTTCCCTGAGCTGGGGACCCCTCCCCAGGGCCCTGCACTGCTGGAGCTCTGTCCTCCTTTGGGAGGGGCGGCATCAGGCTCCACGCTGGAGCTTCATGCATTCATTCCAAGTCAGTCAGTATTTATTTAGCATCTACTGGATACCATGTGCCTTTCCAGGATGAGATCCAGGGGCGAGCTGTATCGCGGTGCTTATGGTCTAGAACGTGTGTATGGGGGGCTGGGGAATAAGATCCCCCTCCAGACTCAGAGCTCCCCCAGAGTCACTTCTGTATACGCATGCAGGCACACACACAAGCACACACACGACCACATGCTCGGGACCCTGGGAGAATTGCTCTCTATGCAAATCACGACCGTACATCCACCAGACTGATTCATTACCATAAATCAGAGCCACAGGACCGGCAGGCCTACTCCTGTCGCTGGAGGGGCGAAGAGGGAGGAGCCAGACCTGAGCGGGGCTGATGGGAGGCCTTGGGAAAAATGAAGAGGGAGGCCGCCATCTTGGCCTGGGTCCCAAAGTGTTTGGGATCTGTCCGAGAGGCTCCCCTGGGGATGTGGCCTCCCACCCCCGTCAGGTCAGGTCGGCCCTTCAGACCCTGCAGTGAGGATTCAACCCTCTGTCCCTGTCCACGTAGCCCAAGGCCCCTTTGTGCCTCACTCACACAGCAGGGCTGGGGATGGGGGAAGAAGCAGGGGGCACGGACCACAGGCAGAGACGCCCAGGATCCAGCCCAGGATCCAGCCCAGCGGAGGCAGCGCTGGAGAACGGTGACAATCTGGAGGCATCCCCCTGCACCCCTCAGGCAACAACATAGATGCTGGCCAACAATGAGGTTACAGCTCATTGGCCATTTCCTGCATGCCTCCCGGGGCTTCACCGACCCACCCGATCCCTCTGGGGCAAGTGCTATGCTTCTCCCCATTTCACACTCGAGAAAACTGAGGTCTGGAGGGCTTCAGAACTTTCCCAGGGCCCCCCAGCTGGGAAGGGGCAAGGAAGGGGGACACGGACCAGGCAGGAGGTCCCAGAGGCCACCCTCCTACTCCCTCACCGTGACTCAGTCAGGTGGGCCCGGCCTCCCCCTTGGTGGCTGGATTTGCAGGGAGCTGCCTAGCTGTCCCAGTGTGTCTGGATGACCCCCACCCCCATCCCCAGCCTCCACTATCCCCTTCTTTCTTCTCTGGTGCTTTCTCTTGTCTCTGCCTTCAGCCCCTCACCCTCTCAGGGTGGGCGGTCGAGCGGGGCGGGGGCAGCAGGCTAGGGTGGCCAAAGCCGAGAGCTCAGCTCCCCAGCCTCCCACTGGGAGCTGATTCCCAGGGGTGGAGTGCCTTCTTCGAGGAGGTCCTCTTTCCGGGACTGGAAGGGATGGTTTGGGAGGGGCTCAGCGTCTGTCCTCAAAGGGGCCCCACAGTGCTCAAAGAGAGCAGGCCGCCCAGCGCAGGGACAGCAGGACCACACAAAAGCTTCTACAACAGCCTGACCCGGCCTGCCTCCCGCCTGCCTCCTGTCCTCACCCCACTTCCCATTAGAATGCAGCACGGCCAGCAACCCTCTCAAAGGCGCATTCAGCTCCCTCACAGCCCTCTCTCACACAGGCCTGACTCAACAATTAGGGAAACGGCCTTCCTCGCCAGTGTACTGGCAGCCCAGGGCGCCCAGCTGGGAGATTCAAAGGCCTCTGGTCCCTCTGAACACTGCAGCCAGGGGTGAGGGAGAAGCCCTCTCCGGGAGGAAACTGGCTCCCCGAGGGCCGCTCAAGGTGGCAAGCTGGAGGCTTCCCCTGCTTCCAGAAGGCAGAGGCGGCGCAAGGGGCAGGAGTGCCCCCCGGAGAGCTGGCCTCGTGCAGGCTTCCCTGTGCTCACATGTGTTCCCAAAGGAGAGGCGGCCGGCCAGGCAGCTGTGCGTGTGGCTTGGACCAGCAGCCGTTCCCTTGGACTGGGTACCCGCTCAGCTGCTGGTGACCCCAGGATCCTCTGCGGCACAACCTGGGCCCTCCTGTCCTGCCCTTCCCTGCATCTTGGGGGGCCCCCAGCCCTTGGGATGTAGGCTCATGCCTGGCTAGTCCTCCCTCACACCCAAAGCGGACACCACGCAGTGGGCAGAGGGAAGAAAAGAGGAGACACCCAGCCTGTCTCCCTCCAGGAAAAACTCTGCCCGAAGGTGCTGGGAGCCAGGCGGCACCGGGGTAGGCCCCGTGGAGGCAGACTGCTCCAGCCTAGAGTGACTGGACAGCCCCAAGTCCCAGGGCAAGGTGTGACTTCAGGGAGAAGGCTTCAGGGAGAGTCCTCGTTCGTTTTTTTACACCCAGGTAGCTAAGGTGTTACAGATGCAGGCCATGGGCTGACTTTGTGGCCCCTGAATCAGGCAGGGGTTCCCCGAAATCCCCTGGTAAATCCTGACTGCTCCCCCCGACTCACACACTCACACACACACACAGCTTGGGCCTCTCTCCGTTCACACGGGATCCCAGTGAGCTGCCTACAGGCCTTTCTTTGCAGACCGAGTCCACGTCAAGAGCGAACATCGTGTCCTGGTGTCTGCATCCTTGGACACCCGGCGTGGCTGAGAGCCATAGAGCCAGAGTCCGCTGAATCCAAGAGCCGGGCGTGGCTCCACCTGAGCACCAGGTCTCTCAGCGACCAAACATAGCTACACAGGGAGCATTCCCCACCCTGCATATGTGTGTTTTAAAAACATTCTGGGGTACCACATCCAGAAACATTAACACCATTGTGTTTCAGGCCATGTGTGCGAGTCCGAGGCAAGGGGACGGGAGACAAGCTAAGCGTCACGTTCCACGTTCCCAATGCCCGGGGAAGGCGGCCCAGGAGGGTGCTTCGGGAGCCCGAGGCTTCGCCAGCCTGCGGTTGAGACCCCGCTCGTCCCCATTAGACTGGGTTAGTTCTTCACACGCACAGAGTCACCTGGTCATCCAAGCCTGGCGTCACAAGCCGGGGCTGAGAATGGGCCAATGGGGTGTGAAAGGGATCAGGAATCAGGCTTCTCATCTTGGCCTTGTCCCTAAATACCTCATGATCTTGCGTAAGCCTCTTCCTTTCTCTGGGCCTCTGTCCCCGTAGGAAGGGCAAGGGGACTGGTGAGGCCGATCCAAGCCCTCTCGGTTCTGAGAGTCTAGGTTAGGAACAGAGACCGGAAGCCGGTCCTGCCCTGGGGACTCTGGACAGGACACCTCAACATGCCCCCAGACAGATGGTCCTGGTCGGACCAGCCCCCACCCCCACCCCCACCCGACTCACCACAGCGGCTGCGCTGTCAGCAGCGAGAGACATCCAGCTGAGGAACAGGCCCAGCGCCCCACAGCACAGTGTCCTGGGAGAGAGGCACAGCCAGTGGGATCTAGGCGCAGGCTGGCAGGTGGGAACCCCGCGAGGGCCGTCACCCCACCACCTTCTAGTGACCTTCCTCTGAGCCACCAGCCTGTCCCCCCACGGCTCCCAAGACTCTGGCGGTCCCTAATTATCCGCTGCTGACTGCGGGCCGAGAGGTACGGAGCCCAGTGCCTGGAGCATCGGTCCCTCGGCCGAAAAGCCACAGCTGTGAGAGCACGGCTGCGAGGAGGGCTTGATCAGAGACCCTGGAGGCTCTCACGCTTGGGCCCCATTCCTTCAGCTGCTCAGCAGCCAGGCCCAGCGACGTGTAGGACACATGGAGGCAAAGCCCAGTCCTTGCCAGGTGTCCAGATGCTGCAACAGCGGCTGCCGTCTCCCTCCGCTGCCGGCCGAGGGGGGCTCGGAGGGCGGCTTCCGGCCACTGCCCCCACCACACGCTCAGAGCTTGGCCAGGCCCCCATCTCTCTCTCACGGTGACACTGTCACCCCCCCCCCCGGCTGTCCAGCCCGCGTGCAGGGATACTCACGAGACCAGGAGACACCTGGAGCGCCTGGCCAGTCCCAGGCAGGCGACGAGGCAGATGACCAGGTCCAGGATGAAGAGCAGGAGGTAGGAAAGCCACCTGGGTGAACGGGGGAGAGACGGTCAGGGGTGGGGAGGGGGGTCACCGCACCGGTGCCCAGCAGTGCCCAGCGGGGGACACCTGCACAGCAGCCCCCAGGCCAGCTTGACCCTTCACTGTGACGTGCTGCCCCAAGCCAGCAACCGAGCGGGAGACGAGGCTGCACACCCTGCCCCGGACGGGAAGGACCAGGACGCATGGCAGACGGGCTCTTCGGGGACTCCCAGGGCTGCACCCCTGGCTGTGCCTGAACGAAGGGGTCACGCTCCCCACCCAGACCGAGCATCTAAACCAGCACGGCCGGCCAGAACTTCCTGTAGTGACGGGCATGTTCCAGATCTCTGTGCTGCCCAGTGCACCTGGCCCTGCCCACGCGTGGCTCGGGGAGTGGAGACGCGGCCCGGGCAACAGAAGAGACTTGTGTCTCATCTGAGCTGCTTCTAATTCATTTACAAGCCAGTGCCACGTGTGCTAGTGGCCACACGCTGGACGGAATGGGCCTACGAGGTCTCTGCAGCCTCCCACGGGTACTGCTCCGGACCCTCCTGCTGCTTTCAGAACACTCACCGGCATCAGATCAGGCCTGACATTTACGTCCATGGATCTAAGAAAGCCCCTAAGATGCCCACGTCCATGGTGAAGGCTCAGCCTGGCCTCCCTCAGGCCTCCTGTCTCGCCCTCCCAGCTGCCTGGGACCCACTGCTTAGGACACACAGGCTCGTCTCAGCAACATCTGTGCCAGGTACGGGGTGCCTGGACGCGGGGTTGGGCTCATTCCCAGACCACCAGGGAGCTCAGGTAGGGCGAGGGAGCCCCAGGGAAATCCCTCACTCCTTGACTCCTTGGGCCTGTCTGCCCGCCCCCCACCCACCCCCAAGCTGCGCTGATGGGGAAAGGCCATTGCACACCAGTGGGCAGACCCTGACAAGCTGCCTCTCCCTCCCTTGGGCCTCAGTTTCCAAATCTTTACTGCTGGAACCTTCTCAGGGCTGGGTGGAAAGCTGAATGTTCACGAAGTACAAAGGTTAATAAGGCATGCCACCGAGGGATCTCAAAGTCTCCGCTTTCCTGCTTCTCCAAAGCACGGGCTAAGGAATCCACAGGGCTTAAAGTCCAAAGGCATTGATGCAGTCCCAAGCAAAACCCCGAGAGTTCCTTTCTCTTCTACACAGGATCCCCAGAGAGGGCCTTACCAGTGAGCACCAGGCTCACCTAGCAGCCACTGCCTAGCAGCCTGTGGACACAGGAGGCAGCGGGGACAGACAGAAGGGACAAGCCCCTGGACAAAGAAGCCTTTGGATCATTATGATTTCTCTTGATGCAAGAGCCAGTTAAATTCAGGGACCTCTCCTCTCCAGCAATGCTTCACTAACACCATCAGGAGGGTGAGAAGGAGTTTGGGAGGGTGGGTGGGAACAGCGCCAGCTGTACGAAAGGACGAGGGTCCCAGAGGGAGGGAGCGAGCACTCGGAGGCCCCCTGGCAGCCAAGCCAGGTTCTTCCCGTCTTTGTGAGTGGAGGCTGAGTGCCAAGAAAGGGCGCTAACCGAGACCCCCCTTCCACCAAGGAGCCAGTTTTCCTAGAATTGGAGTCAGGGCAGGAAGGGGCCTCAGAAACTACAACCCCATTCCACAGATTGGAAAACAGATGGAGGCCCGTGGGAGGAGAGCCCAGCCCAGGAATTCTGGACTTTCCCCCTCCTCTGTGTGTCTTCCTGCAGGAGACATGGCCAACCACCAGGGACCTCTCAAAATTCCAGTTCATGTTTCAAAACCTAAAGATTTCTTACTGCCTTTCTCCCTGCTGTGCACACCAGCAGGAAATCAGGTTAGGATCGCCTCTCACTCACTCTCCACGATCGTGTTTCCGTGTTTTCTCCACATCCACACCTCGTGTTGTAAGGAGTTCCTGGAAACAGCTCTGCGAGACGGATGTGTTTTCCCAGAGGAGCCCAGAAATGACCTGGGATGTGTTTCTAAGGAACAGGAGCTGCGCAGGCCCTGATTCCTGGGGCTCTCATGGATCCGGCCTCTGCAGGCACCTTGGTCACACCCCTTTTGAGCCTCTCAGAGAGGCTTGGCTTTTTTTAGTGCCTCCAATACTTAGCTGGGTCTTGTATAAAAGTGCCAAAAAAACACGAGCTTAGTTGGATGGCTCTGCTCTAGAGTCATCTGGAAAACAAAGATGGGGAGTCTGTTCGGAGGAGCCCCTCAGGCTGGTGAGCTCGAGGAATGAGGCCCCTCTCTGTCCTGGGACAAGAGGGGAGAGAAGGAGCCGGCAAACAGCGGAGGGAGGAAGGCACAAAACACCATTGGTTTTCAGGGGCCACTGGTGCTAATGTCCTCAGACTGGGCCTTTTCTGCCCCAGCCTGAACAAGGGAGCTGGGACGGGGGTCAGAGGGCACCCCTTGGTCACCCACACTGAAAACAGCTGATATGCTCTGTCACCACCCTGCTGCCCATTTTTAATGGAATCACCTTAAAATTAAGTCCCTTTTGATATGTAAACTGACTTATTCCAACTCTTACAGTGTCTCATGCCTACGGGGGGCCCTTAAGGATACAGAGTCCCACTCCAGGGCCGCTCACGGAGAAAGGCAGGGTCAACGTGGGCACCCACTTTCCACCTGTCCCTGACCCCCGGGACTAAGCTTTCACACGCTCAGAGGAAGAATGTCCCTCAGGTCACAGGACTCATCAGATGTCACTTTTTTAGGTCACGAGTCATAGCCCATCCTCGGAATCAGGAGTTTCTGTGGCTGGGGAGAAAGGCCATTTTGAATGTGAGCAAAAAAAAGAAAAAAAGGAAAAAGTCTGGTGGGAAACCAGATCCGTGATATCTGGGGCAAGCAGGGGCTGGATGGGGTGTGGGACCAAGGAGTGGGGAGTGCCCGCCTGAGCTGGGGACTGACTTCACACGCTTCCCTTGCCAAGGTCCGGGTTGATCCTACCCAAGGGGGAGAAGGGAGAGCTCTGGACAAGTTGGGGTCCCATTAGAAGCATTTCCTCTGTGTCCTTCTTAGTCAGCCCGGGGTGGGGTTTTCTCATAAAGGAGAAATGAATCCAGAAAACCAGAGTAAATTGTGCAACAGGGCGGGTAAAGGCTCTGACCTTTGCTAAATGGCCTGAAGGGGAACCAATGCATTGGGGAAGAGGTGGGTCCAAAGAGCTGATACTTGTTCTTCAGGACTCATTTACCCCTTCCTCACCAGGGCCCCCCTCCCTCCGTGCAAGGCGCTGGGCCCTGGAGGAAAAGAGATGTGCACTTGGTGGGCGTAAGTCCCCCTTTGGCCAGGAGTCCCTGAAAGCCCAGACGGCGGCCTCCTTCCTTGGCTCTCCTCAGGGCGACCTTCAGTAGATGCCGCCCACGGAAGGAGGCAGCCTGTCGCTGGTCAGCGGGCCTGTGTCCAGCGCCCTCACCTGGGATGGGGTCTGGGGAATGGGAGGGCAGGGGAGATGTACATGGACTCCCAAAGCTTATGGAGGTACGAGTTTGTACTCCTGAGTACGGCAAGGGAGGCTCCGTGCAGACCCCCTGCACGCGGCCGAGCCTGTAGGTGTAGGGAAGCCCGCCCCACAAACCCCACAAACCCCACAAACCCCATAAACCACTGGCATCTTACCCACCCCACAAACCCCATAAACCACTGGCATCTTACCCAGTACCAGCCACGAAGGATGCTGGTCCCAGGGGTCCCTGGAGGCCAACTTCAGCCTCTCACACGGGATCTTGGCACACCGCCCCCTGTCTGCCCCTTTCTGGGTCTCTGGGGCCGGCCTGCCCAAGGAGGCGGTTCTGGACGCCCACCACTCAGCACACACACTCCTCTGGTCCCAGGAATAGCTCACGAACGCCCTGCCTGGGCCCCAAGACACAGGCTGGGACGAAGGAAGCCGCCCCCGGCCGCGCTGGCCCTCCCTCGGGCCCTCACCTGTAGTATTCCATGTAGCCAGTCTGGTCGGCCAGCTCGGTCAGCTCTGTGGTGACCTCCCTCCACACGGGCAGCCCCGAGAGCTGGACCAGGATGTTGGCCGCCATCTGCTGCACAAACTTCAGCGTCTGGATATAATCGCCCCGGGCGGCAAAGATCTCACTGAGCCGGGCCAGGTGCTGCTCGAGGTCCACCTTCATCTTCTGGGAGGTTCCAGACACCTGCGGGGGGGGGCCAGGGTTGTGAATCTGGCCTCCAGGGGGAGGAGGCGTGCAAGCCACAGGAGGACAGAGAGGCCCTCCTGTCCCCCAGCCCTCACATCCCTGCACCAGGGTGGGGGGCAGGCCTGATCCGGTCTAAACCAGGACCGGGGCTCCCAGATGGGGAAACCGACAGGAGAATCCGTTTTACTTCCTTGAAGAGGATTCCCTTAAAACTCGAAACACCTTGGATCAGAAATTCTTTTTCAGACCAAGGGATGGAATGGAAAAGTTCCTCTGTTCCTCTGTTGCTACCTGACCTTCTGTTCCCACAGCAGGATTTCTAAACACCTCCCAAGAGAAAGGCTCTGTTGTGGACCCAGCAACAGCTCCCGGCCTCTGGAGCCCGCGTGAAGCCAGAACAATGACACTTTGAAATGACACAGACGGATGGATCCTGCCTTGGAAGAGCCTGGACATGTGGCAGGAGGAGGTCGGCACCTGCTCTGGGGACTCGGGCCCCGCCTCCGCCCCACCCCACCCTGGGGCACGGCTGTCCTGCCAGGTGGATGGACAGGCTCCCTTCTTTGGTGGGGCTGCAAGGGCCGGGAGCTGGGAGCTCCAGAAGGAAGGAAGCGACTTTCTTTCCAAAGGTACAGAGGGAAGGACAAAGGTGGTGACTGTCTTTGGCTTTCCAACCAGGAGCCCAAGGACGGCCTGGTCCTGGAGAGGTGCTTCCAAACAATCCAGATGCAGGGTCCCTGCCGGACCCAGGGACATAGCCTGGGAACCCCCAGCTCGCCCTTCCAGTCCAAGCCTGCTCTGAGCCTGTGTTCCCGCTGCAAGGGCAAGAAAGGCTCTGTTGCCGTAACTGTCACACCAAACTGACAGGTACCACCGGCTGGAAGGCGGTGTTAATCCTCTCCTGGGGCTGGAAGGAAGATAAAATGTCACCGAGGGGCGTCATCCCACAGGCAGCCCTGAGAGTCCTCGGAGACGACACTCCTGGTGACCAACTCCGCTGCTGGTGTGTTAGGGAGACTCGAGGGCAACTCTGTGGCCTTTCACATCTGTGCTCTTCTGCGGGTGCCTGGTTCCAGACAAGAGAATGGCCCTCTTTGCTCTGTTTGTCTTTGTTTTTTCAATGTCAGCAGCTTGTTCCATTTCCAGGCTTGTTCTCCGTTCTTACACACTGGGTAAGGCCTAAGAGATACTCCGGGTTGGGCTGTTTCTAGCTTCATGCGGAAGAAAAAAGTCATAACAACGATCACCCCAATCAACCCGCCTTTCCGTTCAATGAGATCAACATACAAGTGCTTTAGAACCATTGATCCAAAAGGTACCGTTACTAAGTGCTGAGATCGGAGTCTTTTTATGTTCCTGTATTATATACGAGGAACTTTGGAGCAAAGGGCTGCTAACAATGTTTTCCTGCAAGACGACTTCTCCTTCCCTAGCTCATGATTTTAACTTCTTCATTTCTTCAATCTCTCCTTGAAAAAAACCAAAGCCAGTAAACATCTGCCTGGCCCCTTTTTTCCCTCCTGATGTCCTCTCAAAGGAAACAAAGGAACAAACAAAAATTAAAACCACAACACTGACCTACGTACGGCCCCCTGTTCCCCACTCCACCGCCGGTCCTCAGAGGGTTCCCCGGAGCCCCCAAGAGACAGGGTGGCCCCGGAGATGCAGCAGAGACTCCCCAGGGGAAGAGCTCTGAGCGTAAGAGGGACAGCTCAGTGACTCAGGCTGGGGCGGCGGGGAGTGGGGCGAGCAAGCAGGTGCGGGAGCTCTCGTCCCCCCAGGATGGAGGAGTCGTCCTCCAGGTGCGGTCCCTGGACTGGCAGCAGGGTGACCAGGAGCAAATTCCCAGCCCTGTCCCAGACTTCCAGAACAAGAAACTTCAGGGAGGGCCCAGCAATCTGTGTTAATCAAGCATTCCGGGGAATTCAGATACACGCTCAAGTCTGAAAACCTCCAGGTGGGGAGGAAGCTTCTCTACTTTCTGAGGTTTTCTAGAAGGGCAGCCATACTAGGGGACAGAGGCGTGGATCCTCTGCCAGTGTGGGGAGGGACCCCATCTCAGATCATGAAGGGAACGGCAAAGACCAGAACACCCGGGTTCAGGTTCTTGCTCCAGAACACACTAGCTTCCAATCCTGCAACATGAATGCAACCTCGCCATGCCCTATTTCTCACCCAAGCCTGCCCACAGGCTTGCTGCTGGCTCTCCCGTGAGAGCCCAGAGGAGCCACACTGGCCACTGGAACGTGTGGCTCAGAGCTGAGTCAGCCAAGCTCCTGGGGACCTTTAAGCTAAGACCCTGAGCAGTTAGAGGTATGCCTGGTCCCCTGTGTGAGTCACTCGCCAGAGCTCAGGCCCCGCTCACTGAAGGAGGGGAAGTGGATGGGGGGACACTGGGCCAGAAAAAGGACCCACCTGGCACTCCCAAATGACTCTTTCTGATCCCCCAAATCAAAGCGTGCAGCTGGTCCAGAAGCCTGCCAGGCGTCCCCGAGCCTTGAACAGTGGCAGGGCCCTCAGGGTGCAAGGGTGCAGGTGTGGGGCTTCTGGTCCAGGAAGGGGAGCTCTGAAGGGTCCCCCTCACTCTGACCTGCCCTTCCAGTCCTGCCCTTCCCCTGCCCCACTAACCCAAGCCTCCTGTCTTCTTAAGGGTGATTAGAGGAACACACATAATGACAGTAATTATAATAAGGACACGCATTGTCATAGTGACCCCCACTTGGGGGGACTTTGTAGATTACCAAGCACTTTCACTTACATTATCTCATCGAACACCATTTCTCTGGTGTTTGGCCTTCAACCCTTGGATCTGGGGAGCCCTCCAAAGGCTGCTGCCTCCCTTGCAGCCCTCGGGACCCAGAGTGTCAGGTGCCCTCCCTGAGGCCCAAACCAACTTCACAGGTCCCACCCAGCAGGGGCCCAGAGCTCTATCTCTCCACTGGGAGGAAATACCTCGCTCACCCAGGGGAGGCAGGCCATGGCCCTCACCGGGATGGAGGCAGCTCCCAGCTGGCTCGACCGTCACAAAACCCTGGGACTCCTGCGACTTTCAGACATGGTGCAGAGACAATGAAGGGCTTGATAGCCAGGGACACACAGACCTCTTCCCTTTGGTAACATGGAGTTTGGAGACGTGGGTCTTGTCTTAGAATGTCCAGACCTGGCCTGGAGCCCTCACTCAGCCCTCGTGGTGGATAGGCCATCCTGGGGATTCATTCTAGCTATTTCCCTATCCATTCTCATCTCACAGGATAGAACACAAACAACTCAAACTTTCCCATGAGGATGGCTCTGGGGTTCTCTCTCCTTAGTCCTTAGGAAAGACAAGGGCCATTCCTTACAGTGGTCATGAGTCAAGCAGTGCCAGGTCATGGCTCTGGGGCCTCCCCAGGCAGGGGACTCCCCTTTCGGGGCTGGGTTTCTCCTCTTAGTGGGTCTGGTGCTGGTGGGTGGAGTGAGAGCAGGAGGTAGAGCCTAGAGGCCAGAGCCCCTTCCCTTCCAGGGCAGAGGTAGGGCAGAGGGGACACTGAAGGTGAGGTCCCCCCATGCCTCCAGGGCTGGTCAGGCCATACTCAGCCTCGAGGCTGCCCTCAGCTCCCCATCCCAGCTGTCCCTGCCTCGCCCCACAGAGCTGTCTCCCAGCAATGGGTACCAGCAGGCACGTGCTGTAGGACAGGCGGGGCCCGGTCTGGCCTGTGACCGATCGCTCCCCAGGAGGGCTCTCCATGAGGCCAGAGGAGCACCAGGACTGTCTCTTTAAGGTGTGCCCTCTGCCTCCACCCCAGGGCTGCTGATGGATTAAGGCCTTAGAGGAGCTTAGGGAGAAGGAGGGGGCAATGAGGGGGAATCCTCTTCCAGAATCCTCTTCCAGCAAGTACCAGGGCAATGTCCAAATGCTCTGGCTGGGGCTGGATTTTGTGCTTGAGGCTGCCCGATGACATAATCTGGCCATGTGCTGAGGTCACTGCCCCCTCCTGGCCGCGGCTGGGGACCTGGTCCAGAGGGGAAGGGGAACAGTGTGGATGTCTAAGGACCGGCTTCCCTGAAAACCGCCTTTTGCCTTTTCCTCTGGAGCTCGGCTCCTGCGGGCATGGGGTCTACCTGGAAACCAGCCCAAAACGCCTGCCCCTTATGATGAAGGGGACAAGCACCTGGGGTCTAAGAGGCCAAGGTCGGTGTTTGAGAAAACCCCAACCCCCACCTTGGTCTCTCACTCAGGCCAGATGCCCAGCAGAATGGCTCCAGCCCTAAAAGGCCAATACCCACTCCGGTTAGCCGGCACAGTCCTCCACCCTGAGCCCCCAGCTGGAAGCCAGAGCCCCCACCACACCTCGCTGCACCACCCCTTGGGCTGTGTGTCACTTGTATTTGAAAAGACTCACTCCTTGACCTTGTCTGGACCCCATGATACTCCACATGTAGCAGCTGAAGCAAACAGAGCACAGCGTGAGGGTGATTTCCCACATTCAGTTTGCCCTTGGACAAACAGGGGAAGGCTCGGCCCTCCCGAAGTCCACGGGGCTGGATTCCATGGCTGCCTCAGGGACCCCTGCGCCCAGTCCGCCTTTCTCCTTTGGTCCTCGCCCCTGTCCTCACCACCCCTCCCTGCCTGAAGAGCAGAAATTGTCTGTTTACTCCCAGCAGGACCAATGGCAGCCCCAAGGGGAGTCCCACCCCCCCACACACACCCCACCCCCAGGGGGCCAAGCTGGCTGGGATGTGACTGGGGCCCTTGTTCTGAGCACACTGACCTCACGGGCTGCACCCGGCCCGGCCCGGCGCTGCCCGTGAGCCTTACCAGTTCATCTATCCCGGAGAAGGTGTGGTTCGCGTTGTCCAAGGAGTAGATCAGCTGGTACACCCCATCATTGGTCTCGCTGTTTCCATAGAAACCAACGCCCACCGCGGCACTACAAGCAAGACCCCAAGGTTAGAAGTGACACGCAGAAGAGAAAGTTGTTGTTTTTTAAATACAGTATTTTTTAGAGCAGATGTTATTTTATTTTATTATTTTGTTTTATTTTAATTTGTAGGCTCCATGCCCAGTGTAGAGCCCCATGCAGGCCTTGAACTTACAGCCCCGAGATCAAGACCTGAGCTGAGATGAAGAATTGGATGCTTAACTCGCAGAGATATCCAGGGGCCCCTAGAGCAGTCTTAGATTCACAGCACAGCTGAGTAGGGGTCTAGGGATCTCCCACACAGCCCCTGCCGCCCTAACAGCCACCTCTGTTCCCACCACTCCTCACCACCTTTGTACACTCATACGCCCACACTGACATGTCATTATCCCCCCGAGTCCATGGTTCCCGCTAAGGACCACCCTTGCTCTGGTTCGTTCCATGGGTCTGGGCCCATGTATGGCACCCACGCACCATCAGAGTATCCTACAGAGTAGCTTCCCTGCCCTAAAAACCCGAGCTCCACCTATCCACCCCTCCCTCCCCGCAACCCCCGATCCTTCTATGGTCTCCAGAGTTCTGCCTTTTCTAGAATGTCCTATGGCTGGAGTCCCAGCATGGAGCCTCTTCAGACTGGCGTCTTCCACTGAGTGATACGCATTCAAGGTCCCTCCATGTCTTTCCATGGCTAAGTAGCTCCTTTCTCTTCAGCGCTGAACTGCGCTCTGTGGACGGACCACAGTGTATGTACCCATTCGTCTGTTGAGGGCATCTTGGTTGCTTCCAAGTTTCGGTGATTATGGATAAAGCTGCTATAAACATCCGTGGAAAGTGGGGTTTTGCCTAAGGAGCTCTTTCCTGGAGGTGTGGGAGGTGACCCGGGGGGAGGGGTGAAGGTTCATGGCCATCTTGTCCCTGGCCTGGCTGTAAGCCCAGCAGCTCCAAAGGCGGTGAAGACCGCTGGTTGGGCCTTTGGGATTCTGCTGTGGTAGGCCTGGGACATGCACCTTCAACAGCTCCCCAGGTGACTGTCATGGGGGAGGCTCAGGGACCACCGAGGTCTTTCCTGAAACCTCCAGGAGCTGGGGACCTCCCCTATTCTCTACCCTTCCCCTCTGCTTCCTCACAGCACCCACAAGGTAGCTGGTCAGCTGATAGAAAGTTCCTTCCTCCATGGAGCTGAAGCCTACCTCCTGTCTCTTGACTGTCCTTGGGAGCAGCCCAAAATAAGCCTCCAATTCTGTAGGATGCCCCTTAGACATCAGAATGTGTCTCCACATCCCCCTTCCCTCCCGCTCTCCAAGTGAGATGCGTGTCCTCTATCCAGACCCCGGTCTCCGTCATCACGGTCCACCAGGTTCAAACGCTCCTCCAACTGGTCACTGTCACTCCGGGTGAGGCCTCCACGGCCAGGTGTCTATCCAGCTCGGAGGACTGGGCGGCTAAGCCCCGGCACCCCCTCTCCGCCCCGCTGACCCCGTGGTCTACAACACCCCTGGGTTTCCTCGCCAGAACTGCCGCCAAGCCCAGCCTCTCCTCCTTCCTGTAGCACAGCACTAATTTTTGTTTTAAGCAAAAGCAGAACTTTTTAAAAATCTATCCCTGTGAAACTGCATCGAGTTGGTATCCGTCCAACATTCCAGCCTGCACAAATCATCTCGAATCTCGCCTACATCATCCGCTGTATTTCATCCGACGTGCACCACTGGGGACGGGGGAGGGGGTGGGGGGGCGCACATCTGGAGGTTCACTAAGCTGCCTGCTGACCCTTCATCCAGAACACTAACTTCGGGGGCGGGAGGTGGGGAGACGAAAGCACATGTGCACACACTTACACGTCTTCTTTTTCTGTTCACGAGGAAGAGTCTAGGATGCAACCCAGAGATTTTAGAGAAATCTCCTCCCAGGATGGGCTCGGCTCCGAGCACAGTGTTTCTCGGGAAGGGGTCTGTGGACCACAGGACAAAGTCACCCAGAGTGCCTGTTGTCGGCGTAGGTAAGGGGCGCTGCCCCCCGCGCCCACGGCAGCCGTGTGCTCCGAGCCTGTGCACAGAGGCTCTTCTGTTGTGTGTAATGCAGATGTGCACACGTGCTGGCGACAGTCTGGTGTCCTGCGAGTCTTGTGTGCATTCAACCAGAATGCAAGTTCAACTCGTTCTGACTCCACTGAACCGCACCACTGTCCGGTCGGTGTCTCTCCCCAGCACCCGTGGGACCACACGTCCAGCCGAGATGCTCAAACGTGAGACGCACTGGAGTTCTAGGAGCTCCTAGTTGGTGACTTTATTATTTTGAAAAAAATTTTTATTATGCCCTGAAAAATGCCTCTTGTTGACTCCTTGTGTTTATAACTTTCTCTATAACCTCCTCTAGTTCTCGGTGTCCTGATCTAGTGTTTTCTGAGGATTCAGCGTCAACCCAAAGCCTTTCCATCCCTTGCCCTGTTTTTGAGCCTGGAGGTATTCTCATTTTCTACCTTCCCCTAGTCCGGGTTTACTGAAGCTGGCCCAGGAGGGCACCTGGTCTTTCAAGACCGGAAATCGCCCTGGCTGTTTAATGAGGACCTCCCAGCTCCCTCCGGGCGTCATCCGTCCTGCCTGGGCCACACAGACCATTCTGTTTGAGGGAAAAGACAGAATATCTTTCCCAGGGATAAAATTCTGTCTCCCACACGGAGGGGCATGAGGAGCTCTCCTCCTATACCATTGACTGTCTGGGGAACCTGCTGTTGGGACTTTCTTCTATGGAATGAATCCCCCCTCTTCTCCAGGATCCTTACTGTCAGAGCTCAACAAGTCCTCCCGACCTCCCCCAATCTCCCCTGGTCTCCCTCTACCTCGGCCTTTTCTACTCCCTTTCCCTGAGTCTCCCCCCAGCTCATTCTGAACTGAGCACAACTCTAGTAAAGATGACTGGTGACTATTCCACTTATGGCTGATCCCCAAGACCCCGTGTAGCAGCCCCACCCCAGCCCCCTCACCCGCTCTCTCTGCTCTAGCCACACTAGCTTCTTTCAGTTGCTTAAAACGTCCTCTGCTCCCTCCGGCCACAGAGCCTTTGCACACACTCCTCTTTCTTCTGCCTAAAGTATCTCCTCCTACCCTGCCCCCACCTTTGCCTGGTCATCCTATGGATCTTGGTGCCCGTGACCCAGGAATGCCCGACTCAAGTACACCATCGCCTTTATGCTGGTTCTTTTCCTCCAAACTTACTCCTTAGTTTGTAATTACTCAAATCAAATGTGTGATTCTCTGCCTCTCCCAATACACCAAGAACCACAGAAGGCAGAATTAGTGCCTGGGCTTCCCGCGGACTCGCGCTTGCCTGGTGCAAACAGCCTGTAGAATTTTGGAGAATGAATCATGCCACATGTGTTCCTTCTGTTCTGAGTTTTCCTGAAATGGCCGGTAATTATTACTTACTGGAACTGGCCCTCCAAAGTCATTCTTACTGTTCCAAAGTATTCTTCTGTCATTTGCAGCGTTTTTGAAAAAAAAATCTGAGTTCACACGGAGAGGGCTCGCCGTGTAGAAGGCACTACTGGCTGCTTCGCTGTCTCCCGTCTCTCCCTGCCCACCCAACGCGGGAGGCTTTTATTCCATTTACTTCGTGGGAGCTCCTCTCTGCTGGAGTCAGACTTGTCTTTGAACTCCTGACTAGAACTCCTTCCTTTCTGTTTATGATTTAGGACCCGGCGGCCAGTCCACCCCCCGCCCTCCACCCAGCCCTAGGGCTCAGCGCTTTGGCACCACTGCGATGCTGCTTCTGGCTCCTTCCTATCTTGGCTTAGGTGACCCTTATGCAGCAGGCAGGACAGGACGGGAGCACGCGCTAATGGAGAAGAAACCACAGGAGCGAAGTGAGGCTAACAGCCCAGGCGTCTTCACTCCCAGCACTGCTGCGCCCCGCCTGCCCCCCCACCCCCACCATCCTGCTACCCAGACAGAGGGCCAAGTCCCGCTGTGGGATCTTGGATGCAACGGACACTTAGCAAGGAGGTCTCTACCCCTCGAGAGTGACCACCCCAGGAGCATCTCACGGCAGGACCTGAGGCTTTTGGAAAAACCTCTGCGGACATAAGAACAAGAACAACACAACCTCCTGAAAACAGAGCCGGCAAGAGTGCGGATCCTGTCTGGGCAATGTGGGCTCTCACGTGGGGTTAGGAACCCTCATTCACTGTCCAGAGCAAAGAAGGCCCAGAGGATGGCACTAAGAGCTACTGATCTCTTGAGACGAATGGACTTGATGGAGACTGTAGTCGAATTTTCTCTGACCTCACAGAGCAGCCAGGAAGGTCCCAGGACGCAAACGGCCGACATCCCCCTCTATCCAGGAAGGCTGTACGGGTCTGCTAGGCATGCCCCCTGCCAGGCTAACCAGCACTGCACCAGGGCAGAGGCACACTGGGGAGACCCCCATCACCACCCCACCCATCTGACTCCTGCTACTGCACGGGGAAAGGGACAGCTTTCACCCTGGGAAAGCCTCTGCCGTCACAGTACCCAGTGCTTGGGCAGGAGAATGTGGCCAGACAGCAGAGGAGTCCCTATGGTTGGAGGCTGGAGGGCTGGAGGCAGAGGGAGAGGAAGGGGTGTCATAGACCAGGCTGACCACCAGGAAGACCCTGGCGGTCAGGCCCATTGTATTCCTAATTTCCCGCCCCCTGCGGGCACCGGAGAACCACCCCCCCCACCAACAAAGCCACACACGGAGCCCAGTGCATAGGAACACTCACCAGCAGATGAGCCCGGCCACCACCGCCGTCCAGGTAACACAGCAGGAGTCCCGCCGCTTGGTCTGCACGGCCTCGTCCTGCCTGCAGCAGCACACGCAGACCACATAAGTCGCGAGGATGATGAGGTTGAGGCCCAGGCAGATGGCGGCCACCAGCCCCAGGAACAGAAGTGACTGAAGAGGAGAGGCCCGGGGTCAGAACTCGGTCCCACGGTGGGGTTCGAGAAGCACCCTGTGCTGGGGCCCCGAGCTCCCCCTGGGGCTGCGGGTAGCCTCCATCCCCTCCTCTGCCCTTCCTCCCTCCTCCTTCTCTCGAACACACCATGCCTGGCGCTCAGGCTGGGCAGGGACGCGGGGGTAGAAGGCGCTTCCATGCGGACAGGGTGGGTGGGCAGAGGCCAGGAGAACAGTGGATGCGGTCTGGGCTGCTGAGGCAGAGGTGAGGGAGAAGGAGCAGCTTGAGGCTGGGCCCTGGCTGGTGGTTTAGGATCCGGACCAGGCCCTGCCTGATGAGCTCCTCTGAGCGGTTGAAGGGACTGGGAAGGAACCACCAGCTGGCAGCTGTGGGGGGTGAGCCGCGTGGCTGCGGGACAGACAAAGGGAGGGACATCCATGAGGGTCTGGGGGCTGCGGCCTCCTGGAGGACACCGGGTGTGGGCAGGATGTTTTGGAAGCTGAGAGGAACCTGGGACAGGGCCAGGAAGGGACGCCTGGAGCACCCGCTTCCTCCGAGCCTTGTTCTAGATGCTGGGGTCCCTCCAGAGCAACAAGAAGGCAGCTCTGGGCTGGAAGGCTGGGTGGGGGGTGGGGCAGAGTCAGAACATGTACCATGGGGTCCCTTTCACTGAAGCCGGAGAGGGAGAGCCGTCCCCCACAGGCCAGGGGAAACAGCCAAGCCCCCAATTCTGGAGAGGGCAAGAGGGGCTGCCTCAGGCCAGCAGAGCACCTCGGGGTCCTGCAAGGCGAGCTGCTGTCTGTCAGGAGGCCCGGAGGCACCCCCCTCCTTGCCCTCCAGTCTCCCGATGCAGCCAGATGGACACCAGATGGCACCAGGGTTGGTGGCCGCCAGCCAGGGCTGGACCTGGCCGTCAGTCAGCCTCACCCTGCTCCCCACGTGCCCGCCGGTGATTCCGGCTCCACAGCCCCCGGCACTCTAGTCTGGGCTGCTGGGGTGGGAGCCTGTTTTGGGAAACCTGCTGCTGGTGGTAGTGAGGCAGAGTTGTCAGATGCTGGGACCTCCCGGTCTAAGAGGGAGACCAGACTTGTGTCAGACCACGCATGCACAGAGGAGACAGCGATGAAAAAAGAGGCTGGGGTCTGCAGTCCTTAGGCCGGGGTCATTTTCGGGGGGTGGGGGGTGCGGGGTGGAGCCTCACCGTGGTGAGGCACCTGCTGGGTCCACCCTGTCCCGTCCCAGGTCTGTGAGGGCTTGGGTTGGCCTTCGGAGCCCTGATTCAACCTACTCCTCCTGTCGCCCGGACCTGCAGGCTTCTGAGCCTCACCGACAAATGGCCCAAGTGGCAGGGACAGCCCAGAAGAGGGCGGGAGAGGTGGCTCATTTGGGAGCCAGGATGGTGGAGGTGCGTGGCGTGGCTTCGCCTTCCCCCATCAGCAGCGTGGCCGCCCCCAATGGACCCGAACACATGAGCCAAGAGGAAGTGTCCCTGATGTCCTCACGGCGTGGCGGGGCCGGGATTCTCGGCCTGGAGCACTGGGCTTGTCCTGTGACTGGGGCAGGAGGCCACTCACCCTGCTGAGAAGGTGGAAAGGAGCCGCCACCTTCCTGCCCCCACGCCCCCTCACCGGAGTGCCCTGGAGCCCCAGGCCAAGGTGAAGATGGCCAAGGAGGACAAAGAGACAGGTGACAGGCGCTCGCTACGCAAAGTGAAGTTCACCGACCCGGCACGGTACGCCATCTCTTAGAATGCAGAACCTTGTTAGAAATGCAGGGTCTCAAGCCTTGTTCCGGGCCCAGAAGGACATCTAGAGATGATCCCAGGAGGTCGGTGTCCCGCAAGTCTGGGGGGCGCCGAGGAGTGTCCACAGACTTTCTCAAACCTTTTCTATAAGCTTAAGCTTTTCTCCAAAGACTCGCTTAGCAGAGCCCCATTCTCCAGGGCCTCCTCTGACTGAGGAGGGGACAGACATGCCAGGCTGTGTCCTGACCACACTTGTGCAGGCCCCCGAGACCCCTCTGTTAAAACCCAGGGTCCCCCTAACTAATAAGCCAATCACTACGCCCCTGCCCCACAAGCCAGCAAGGCCACACCTGGTCTTTTACCTTACAGAAAAGAGACCGGTGTCCCCCCCAGGATATGCCCCTGAATGTCCCCAGCAGCTCAATACCCTGGTAACAGCCCCAGAGCAGAGAGGACACAAGTGTCCACTGACAAGAGAACAGACACATACAATGCACTGTCGTCAGAAGTAGGAATACCAGGCAGCCACGGGAAGAAAGCCACGGCCACAGACGGTGGCGCGGGTGATCTCACAGACGGGAGGTTGAGGGAGACAAGCCAAACGGCAGACATACGGCGCAGTCGGAGGAGCCCCCCTATGGTGAGTGACAGGTGTGCACAGGAAACACCTCTGCAAAGGGACGGACCGTGAGGGGCTCCTGGGGGGTCGGGAATACTCCATCAGGATGGTTTCTCACGCACGTACTCAGGCAGACACTTAAAACTGTACTTTCTGGGGCGCCTGGGTGGCTCTGTCGGTTAAGCGTCTGCCTTCGGCTCCGGTCATGATCTTGGAGTCTTGGGATCAAGTCCCACGTCATGTCCCTGCTCAGTGAGGAGTCTGCTTCTCCCTCTCCCTCTGCCTGTCCCCTTGTGCTCTCTCTGTCTCAAATAAATAAAATCTTTAAAAAAAAATTTAAAAATAAAAAAAAAATAAAAGAGCGCACACTTTTCTACAAGTTGCTCCTAATGAAAAAAAAAAAAAAGGCAACAAAACCCCAGACGGACCTTTTGTATACGCTAGAAAGTGGTTTGTGTCCAGACCTCCTCCCAGCTACCCTGGACTTCCAGCTGGTCTGGACAGTCCCAGTCTTTCCCCAAACAGGAAAATCTAGGACTACGCCATGTGTCCACACCCGGCGAGGAAGCACCGCTAAGAAGGCTGTCAGTCCCCCTGGAGCTCAGCCAGCTGCCCCCTCCGTCTGTGTGGCGGCTCCCCTACTTTGTGCTCTCAGAGACCCCTCGACCCCCTGCCAGCCCAGCCCTGAGGGCGCAGCCTCCCCACCTGGGCAGCGGGCCTCAAGCAGGTGCAAGTCCCGCCCGGGAGAGGCCAGGCCTGGGAAGCCCAACGTGGTTGGGGTTTTTGGTTAGCAGTTCACCTCTGGATCTCTCCCCAGCACCGGTGCTGGGTGACAAGGGGGGCAGGTTTGGGGGGGCAGGGAAGGAAAGGAGGAAGTTGGGGAGTGCAGAGGAGGAGGAAGGAGTTAGGAGGGTGGAGGGAGCAGTAGCCCAAATAGCAGAACCCCCCCACCCCCTTCCACCACCGTGGTGGCACCTGCCAACCTCTAATAGGCAATTATTTTCCTGCCCCTAATTAACACTGCAAGTCCCCATGTGCGTGGCAGGTGGGGGTGGGGGAGAGCAAACCTCTTCCCAAGTGAGCTGGGAGTTCTGTTCACAGGTCTCCTGCTCTGACAGAGCAGAGAAAGCAGCTGACCACCTCAGGGCCCAGCAGCCACTCCCTCCCCCACCCTGCCCGACACCGAGCACCACCGTGCCCACAGCTCCACAACAGGGCCTGGGCTCCAGCCTCTGTCCTCAGCCAAGTGACTTCAATTAGTTCTGGTTTGCCACTTTGTAATGGGAAACCCAGAGCAAGAAACCAGGACCCAGGCTGGGATGGGACTGACTGATATGCACGCTGGGAACGCTGACCACGAGGGGGTTCTGCACTAGGCGAGGGAGGGGGCTGCAGTGGGAGACCCCACCCCCACCCAAGGCGTCAGGAGACAGCTAGAGAGTGGGCTGGCCTGGGGGCGAGACCCCAGGGAGGGGAGCTGGAAGCACTTGGGAGGAAAGGGTTAAGCCTACCCAATGGCCCCCCAGCAGGGGAGGGGGGCACAGCGTGATTGTCCGATGACCATGACTCAGTGTGCAGGCTAGATGAATGGGGCTTCCTCATCCAACTTGGGCTCCTCGGCTGGGCTCCCAGCCTGGCCTTTCCTTCTGAGACCTGCCCCCAAGGAAGGGGGGGTGGGGGGAGCCCCACGGTTCTGGGGCTAGCCCCATCCTGTCCCCTCCCCTGGCCTGAAGACACACTGGGGACTCTGGGGAGCCTAGGAGCTGAGCCACCCAGTTAACACATGAAAATACACGTCTAAATGTAAAAAGTTAAAAACATCTCCTCTATCTTGCCACGCAAGTCCCCAAAGAATGGCTGGTCTACGGAAGCCAGAACGGAGCCAGGGAACAGGAAACCCTGTGTGGCTCCTGCACTTCGACAAAGGCAGCTGCTAACATCTGCATGGCGTTTTGGAGTTTAAGTACATTCGTTCCTCAGCGCCTGGTCTTTCCACCATGGCGGGGAGCGGGGTGGTGTGGGCAGCTGGAGGTGGGAACTCCAGTGGCTTGTTCTGGGAGAGCCACGGCTGGGTGCAGGGCCAGAGGTCCTTGCTGTGGACACCTGGCTAGCTGGGGGCCAGTCACATGCGTTAGACCCCCTAACTTACTGGGTCCTTTCCTACTCTCCTTGATGGGGGTGGTTCTCTCCATTTCTATGCCTCCCCCATCCAAGGTGAGAGACTCATGCTGGGAGGTCCGGGCTGCTTCCCCTCTGTACATGCAACCTAGAGCTGGGGGTACAAGGTCAAGTCCACTGGCGGGAGTGGGGGTGGGTGGGTGGTGAAAGGATCAAACATTGGCGGGCTTCCACTGCTCCCCAAGAGTGAAGACAGTGAGTGGGAACCCCTGCTTCTGCAGGAACTTTCTGGGAGGTGAATTTACTCAGGATATTCTGGGTCACAAGGCAAGCGGCTCGTCTGTCATATACACTCTTGCAGGACCCCCTTTTTCTTCCAGATCCCTGCACAGCTGGTCCCTCCTGAGTTTTCCTCGGGGACTGCACCTGCCCCTTTCCATTCCCACAGAGTCTTTTAGTGAGCGTGCACACGCACATCCCCACAAGCCAGTGTCGTTCATTTGGACACTTGGGGCATGGGTTAGTTCTTCTCTGATCAGTGTCTGTAGAAGAAAATCTCTTCCCTCTGTATCGCCCGATACAAAGTACTGTCGCTGGACACATTACTGAACCCCAAGGGCAGCCTGTTTAATGGTTTGTATCACAGGTCCTACCACGAGCTCTAGGACCCTCTAGGTACTAAGCCCTAGTACTTGCAGATGAGGGAAGTGGGGCTCAGAGAGGTATGGACACCTGCCATGACACACAGTTAAGTGATAAAACGGGGATTCCAACCCAAGACAGCCCGAGAGCAGAGCCCCAGCCCCACCTACTCAGCTGCCAGAGCCTTGGGCAGCCTTGGTTATCACGTGACCCCCACGTCTGGCACAACATTTGGCCTCCATCATGTTTGCTAAGTACTCAGATGACTGACAGCAGAAGGTGCCCCATCCACGATGTTAACTGGCCTGCCAACTGGGAGGAAGGGAGCTTCCAAGAGGGACCCATGGTCAGACAACAGGAGGACTTAACAAAGCAGGAGTCCCCTTAACTAACACCCAGAGCCATGGTCCGGCTGCCCAGGAACAGGGACCCAAAGGAAGGGGATGCCTTCTGGAGTCATCTGGTGCCCAGCACAGTGTGCCAGAGGCTACACCCTGAGAGGATAGGGGCAGGGACTGTGGGGGGGGGGGGCTCTGGCTCAGCTGCCACCTCTCCAGGGGACTGAGTGGGTGGGGGAGGTGCAGTTCCCCCCACACCCGCTCCACCCAGCTGCTGGCGGGACAGGTGCTGTCTCTGGGGCCACCGGGGTGGGGGAGTGCCCTACCACCACCCCTCGGGCATCTGGAGGTCTTCTTGACCCAGCCAGTTTAGATTTCCTCCCGTGGAGAGAAGAAAATTATGGTTGGAGACCTTCCGTGCCCCCCAGTATAGGATCTGGGGGGAGGGTTGGGGACACACCAACAGGGGCGCGCGCACACACGCGTGTGCACACACACACACACCAACAACACAGCTGTCTCAGAAATCACATCCGCCTCTTTGCATGCATTCATTGGGAGCGGAAGATTCCCTGGAGCTATCCCCAGGCGGCCGCATTCTCAGGGAACGCTGACTTCCAGGGGCAGAGCGCTGGGAGCGGGAGGGGCAGACACAGAGGAGGAGAGAGCCAGGCTAACCCACCCAACTGCCTCTCAGACTGCAAGAAGGGGTCCCGATTCTCTCCTCTTTCCGGAAGGGCAGGCACCTAGCGCCTGGGGCCTGAGGTTGACAGGGACACTAGGGGCTATTATTAGACTCCCCAGCCCAGTGCACTGCACGCCCTGCCCGGTCAGGATCCCGGGCGCTGCAGAAGGGCTGGTCGGGGAAGGCTAACAGCTGACTCCCGGCTAAGCCTCCCCCTCAGCCTCCCGGGACTCAGCAGAGGTCCGGCTCTGCCCCAACCTGCCCCCCACGGGCAGATCATGTCCAAGAACCTGACACTCTGCAGGCAGAGGCCACCAGGGGTCAAAGTCCCAACATGGGCGGGTGGCTCTCAACAAATGGGTCCCATTCTGGGCTTTTCGGCCTGAATCTTTGACCCAGCGGTGGACTGACTCAGGGGCTGGAGCAGGCTTGGCTAGACCTCAGAAGGCTGGGGGAATCTTAAGCTCGGCATGGGCTGGGAGGTCAGGAGAGCCCCTCCCCCAGTGGGAGTAGAGACAAGGAGGAGGGAAGGGGCAGAGGGAAGGGTCAGAGGAGCAAAGAAAGGGCCGAAGTGCAAGGATGAGGGGAGTGGCCGGCCAAGAAGCCAAGACCCCAGAAATCCAGGGCCTTGTTCTGTGTTGTACGTACTGAGCAGGAGTGGGAGGCTGCGGTGGGATGGGGCTGACCCGGGACACGTCCCTTCCCCCAGATCTCCACATGTGGCTGCGGGCTCTGGGCGCACCAGAGGTTGGTCACCCCCGCCCCCCACGCAGCCGCCTCCCCCAGCCCTGCAGCCGTCCAGGAGAGGCCCAGGCAGAGGTGCTGTCAGCGGCTCCCACCCTGCGGGCAGGGGCTGGGGACGAGGGGGGCTGCAGAGTCGAACTCGGGAGACCAGTCAGTTTCTGCTCAAACTTCTCCCAGGCCGCAGACACCCGGAAAGAGAGCGCCCGTCCTGGAACCGCAGACGGAAGAAAAGCCCGTGGCGCCCCTGGCATCCCCGCAGCTCGCGCGAGGGAGTTACAGGCACAAAAGCCCCCCTCCCCCGGCGCTCGGCCCCCACGCCCCGCACGCAGCCCCCGCGCCCTTCCTCCTCCCCGTTCCCCATCGCTGGCAGAACTCCCATCTCTCCAGCTTTCCCGGCCCACGAGGTTCCCAGACGGGAGCGCCGTGGCCAAGAGCCCCGGGGGAGAAAGGGAGAGGGGTGACGAGACTGCGGGGCAGGGTGGGAGGCGGGCCGGGAGGGGGTGGGGACGGGGTGGTGCGGGAACTTGGGGCGCCGGCCGTGGCCCGGGTCCGGGTGGCGCGCACTCACCTCCCGGTAACTCTCATCGCGGGGGTTGAAGGTGCTGTCCACCGGCTGCAGGCGCAGGCCCAGGTGCGGGACGCTGTGCAGCCACGCAACCCACCAGGGCGCGACGTACTCCACGCGCGCAGCCGGCATGGCTCCGCCGAGGTGCTCCCGCCTGCTGCTGCCGCCGCCGCCCCTCGGCCCGGGACGCGCGCCCCGCCCAGCCCCGCCCCGCCCCGCCCCGGCGCAGGCCCCGCCCAGCCCCGCCCCTCCCGGGCCAGTCCCCAGCCCTGGGCACGCCCACGGGCTGCTGCGGTTGGGGCTCGGGAACCAGCAGGCTTTTCCTGCTCAGCATTCTGTCTTGGCCCCGCGGGCGAAAGAGATGCAAGAAGTGAAAACTTCCCCCAACGCCCCTGTTTCTTCATAGCGGTCTCTAGGTCCCCGGGCTTCTCGTGACTTATTATCAAATCAGGATATAGATTGTCAATGCGTGCTGCGAGCAGGGCAGTCCTGGCGAGGCGAGGTGGTCCTTCCTAGGGCTTCTAGGGCGGGTAGTGAGTTCACAGTTTGGGGGCGGCAGGGAGCAACAGTCTGCTCCTGGGTCACTAGTTCTAAATTCACTCTCTCCTTTATCGAGCATCCGACTGTGTAAACCACGTGTACTCAGAGCAGTAAGTGGTTTCGTCCTGCGAGCGCCCAACCTATCTGCCCAAACAACTAACTGATGCGGCTTTGGAAGCCCTGGGGACTGAGAAAAGTAGCTTGATTGTGCCTGGTAGGCGGCACAGGGCAGGCCTCCCGGAGGAAGGGACCGTGGAGCTGACCAGAGGGGAGGGGAGGAGAGCACTGGGAGCGCCCGGAAAGGCTGGACATCTCGAGGAGACACAGGACTGTCCACAGCACACATTTACCAGGCACCTCCTATGTGCCGGGCACGGAACAGAGCAGGGGTGTGGCGCCTGAGTGGGCAGCTGGTAATAGCACACACAGAAAGATGCAAACTGCGGTCTTCGAGGGGCTTTGGAGAAAAGCATGAGCAGAGCAGGGTCTGTGGACCACGATGCGCTCAGGTTGATCTGGTAAAGCCTTGTGAACACCTGGCTGGGGTATGCTGAGCACTCAGAGGCCCCAGGCGTGCAAAGGCCGGGTTGGAGAACTGCAGACTGTGTGATGTGATGGGAGGACAGGGTGGGGCTGGCAGGTAGAGGTAGTGCTTGAGGCAAGGACAAGGTCAAGGTAAAGGGCCACCTGACGTTTAGGTGGGAGTGGAGGAGTTAGGGGTCCTGCTGGATCAGGCTGGAGTTGGACACAATCTGGGGGTGGTCACAAGAGGGGGCAGAGACGGGGGAGAAAGGGGACTCCAGAGAAACTCCCAAGTTTCCAGCTTGGGGTTCTGGGTGAGGTGCCCTGAAAATGTGGTTGTTTGGAGGGGAGCGGACCACAGACGTCCCTACCATGACCGCTGTCAGACGTCCCAGGGCCAGGAGAGGGAGTCCGGTCCTGTGGTCTGGATCCCGGTTTCCCCGGGCCTGACTGCAGCCATCTCATCTGCGCATTCCAAAGCTCAGGTGCCGAGTGGGGCGCTGAAGGCCGGAGACAGCTCCTTTTCTCCTACGGGTTTTCATTAATTCAACTATCTTTGGCTGAGCATCTTCTCTGTTCTAGGGAAAATGGGACCAGTAAAACCCCCACGTTCCTGTCAGCATGGGGTCTAGAGTTTATTAGGGGAGGAGAGGCAGCTTTTACTCGCCCCAGTGATGAGCCGCAAACCCGGCTGGGTGCTTTCACGAGTCTCCTGGTGGTAGAGGGGTGAGGGCGAGCTTCTCGGGGCCTCCTGGGTAGGGGTTCTGAGCAGAGAGACAGTACATCATGAGCTCGGACCGCAATCCGGGTGGGGGTGTAAGGGCGCAAAAGGGGAATCAAGGCAGTAACAGCACCATGGCCGGGGAGCAAACTGCAGGCCGGGAAAGCAGAGCAGAGGCTGACTGGTCACAGGGCTGGGGTGGTGTAAGAGGGAAATTTCCGGAAGACGAAACATTGATTGCAGTGGTACTTATACAACTTATACAACTTATACAACTGTAAATGTTTGTCAAAATTTACAGAACTGGACACCAGGGAGGGTGAATTTCACTCTAAGTTTTGCCTCAATAAGCCTTGCTTTATTATTTTTTTAAAAGATTTTATTTTAGAAAGAGAGAGAAAGCGGGGAGGGGCAGAGGGAGAGAGAAACACTGTGCTGACGATGGACCTCGATGTGGGTTTTGATCTCACGACCCTGAGATCATGACCTGAGCCGAAACCAAGAGTCAGACGCTTAACTGACTGAGCTACCCAATCAGTCTTACTTTCAAATAAATACCTTTATTTTTAAAAAAGGAGGAGGGGCGCCTGGGTGGCTCGGTGGGTTAAAGCCTCTGCCTTCAGCTCAGGTCATGATCCCAGAGTCCTGGGATTAAGCCTCAGCCCCACAACGGGCTCCCCTCAGCAGGGAGCTTGCTTCCCTCTCTCTCTCTCTGCCTCTTTGCCTACTTGTGATCCCTGTCAAATAAATAAATAAAATCTTAAAAAAATAAATAAATAAAAAATAAAAAAAAGGAGGAGTGGGGGTGGGGCGTGGTACGCAAGGGCCATTTTGCCCAAGGCCTGTTAAGGATTGTGGTGTTTGAGGTGAACCTGCTGCCTGCCCGGGAAAATGTACCTGAATGTCCTGGGGCCCGCGGCAGGTGGGCTCTGACAACTGGCGTGAGGACACAGCCTGGCACTGACGTGATGGGCCCTGCTTGGTGCCACATGCACCGTTCCCCCTCCTGGTCCCTCTACATCGACAGCACAGGAGGCTCCAGCTGCTGATCCAGCCTCCTGGACACCGGAAGTTTGGGGATTTGGCATTCCTCTAGAAGATTAGAGTCCCGACAGTGATTCTAAGTGCTCCGGGGAAGGGAAGGCAGGACACCAGAGATCCCAAGTGGGAGGGCCTGCCTCCGGGAAGCATCCTGTCACCCTGGAGATTGACCTGCTGTTTGGGGGGCTGGGGTTCAGCCCCAGAGGGAGGGGGTGAGGCAGGGGCAGGCCTGCTGACAGGCTTGAAGAAAAACTATGGAAGCGCACCCTCAGGGCCAGCGCGGCAGCCATCTGGGGGCAGCAGTGAACAGGGAACCTGCTCTGCCAGTCTGCACCCAGTGGGACAGTGACCCTTTTAGCTTCTTCCCCAGAGGCCTGCTAAGGGGACTCCGGGGTTTCCAGCTTGGGGATCTGGGTGAGGTGCCCTGAAAATGCGGTTGTTGGAGGGGAGCGGACGAGCAAAGCAGAACAGGAACGGGAGACCAGCGCCCAGGGACTCTCAGGGGAGTTGAAGTGAGAACAGCCCTCCAGCCCATTCCAAACCAGCAACTGCAGGCCCCGCCTCACCACTCAGCCAGTGATCGGTTTTATCACAAAACGATAAGCGGACATCAGCAAAGCAGTGGTTGACCCAGGCGACCCGAGGGCTCAACATGTACCTAGGCCTCCTACCAACTTAACCAGGCTCTGCCATCAGCCTAGGCCACCAGGGCTGGGGTTGAGAACCGTGGTCTGAAAGGGTGTCTTCTCCTGGCACGGAAGCCAGACCAATGTCCACAGGGTTTGTCTCCTAGGAGCTGGGGCCTGTCTCTGCACAAGGTGCCGGGACAAAGGGGGCCCAGTGGCAAGCCCTCCCTCTTCCAGGGAATCTTGAACACCCAGAGAATGGGGAGGACTGGAAACCTGTGAAGGTGCTCCGTCCTGGGCTGGTCACCGAGCGCCCGAGGACCCCTGCTGGAGGAAACCCATGCCTCTCGCGACTGGATGCAAACTCCCTCACAATTTCTATAGGAAAAAAACTCAACTAAATGAATTCAGGCACTAGGCTTCTGGGCATTTTATCAAGTGAACCATTTCTAGACCCGCCCTGGAGACGGCTCACTTGTAGGATGTCGCCACCTTGCGGTCTGTCCTGATATGATCCCATGCGTCTCAAGCCTGCCCAGTGCCAGAAACGCCACCGACTTTCTCTTCATGCATTCACGGTTCTGCTAGACGCTGCAGCATCAATGTGGTCATGGGTTATGTGCTGTGACCGTGCGGCAACTCACGCCGTGTGGGGAAAGCAATCTGGCAGACCCCGCTCAGCCTCCCAGGAACCGGCCCTGCACATACGAGCCCAACACAAGTGGTACCTGTCAGCGTTGCATGGAGGCCGCTGTCTCTGCTCCAACCGTGTGCATCACAGGACACTTGCCCATCCCCATTAGCTCTCCTCAGAGGGGAGGGAAGAGGATCCCAGGAGGCTGAATGCCCAGCCGCCACACGGGACACCTGCTGGCCATGGGGCACCACTGCCCGCCACTAGAGCTGACCTTGTGGTCTCTTCTCTGTTCAGCACTGTCCCAACCCTGCTTGATTTTCCCGTGGAGACTCTACAGGCAGAGGTGTGCAGTTCTTCCCTGGGGCTGGGACCAGCGCGTGGTGCTCAACAGTGAGGTAATTTCTCAAGATCATGTTGGCTGACAAGTAGTAGTTGGATCCCCAAGGAGTCAGGGCTGGCTGGGACCTGAGCCCTCACAGGCCTGTTGGAGCAGTGGGCCGCACTCACACCCCCTGCCTACCCCTGTGCACTCAACGTCCGCCCCACCGTCTTGAGGCCTAAGGTCAGCTCTCTGGCAAGAACCCTGGCTTCTCCCCCTAACCTTCAGCTGCATTTACCGGACGGGTCTCTCAGTCCCAGGATCCTGTTTCCCGCTCCCTCTTTCCCTGGAGAGCGTGGCCCACTTTGCTAGGCTGACACTCATCTGCTCTTAGCAGTCATCTCCTCACACCCTACAGGTTCTGAAGCTCCACTTTACCTCGAGCGGCACTTAGGAAACAAAGTGTCTTCGTCCGCTGCTCCTGCATCCAGGAATCCTTCCCCCCGCCCGGGTGGATCTGAAAGCCGTGTTTGGAGGATGGGATGGCGCAGCCTGCTGTGATTTCCAAGAAGCTCATCAACTCCACCCTGTAACTACCATTTTCATCATTAGGAAGCTCACTTTACCTAAATTACTTTTAAATCCCATGAGGGCATACTGGCTTCCTTCCACAAATACGTGCCTCTTCTGTGTTTCCAACTATTTATTTTCAAACTGAAGCTAAAAAAAGGATGGTTTTATTTGTCCACTGAGATCACAGCCAAAGATCAGGGATGAAAGTAGCAACCAGGACTCCCATCGTGATCCCACCAGAAGTGACGACCAAGTAGTACTTCCCTTCCCGCCCTCAAAGACAGAGGACATTAGAAGAATTTTTAAAACTTTAATACAGTTCAAATCAGTGGTGCCAGGTTCACTTCAGCTCCTTTACTGCCAAACCTAGAGAAGAGATACAAAATTGAGTCATCCAGGACATACATTTACTCTTGCTTGTCTGGACTTTGTAGTTAAGCCAAAGAGAGTTAACAAACCCAGAAATTAAGCATAGCATGGCAGTTTTGCTTAAAATATTAAATTAATCGGGGCTGTGAGATCAAGCCCCATGTCAGGCTCTGTACTGAGTGTGGAACCTGCTTAAGATTCTCTCTCTCTCTGCCCCTTGCAAGGCCTCTCTCTAAATCTAAAGAAATAAAAATAAGAAAATACTAAGTCAGTGTTGGGGGCGCCTGGGTGGCGCAGTCAGGCATCCAACTCTTGGGTTTCGTGATCTCAGGGTCGTGAGACTGAGCCCCACGTGTGGCTCCGAGCTCAGGAGTCTGCTCAGGACTCGCTCTCCCTCTGCCCCCCCCAACCCCCCCGCATGCTCTCTCTTAAAATAAATAAATTTTAAAAAATAAAAACAAAAAACGTAAACAAAAAATTAGTTAGTGTTTGATAATTAAAAACAAAAACACAGTCAGAAAGCAGTCTGTCTCTCAGCCGTCACGAAGAGATCCTGGGAAGTCCCCACGCTGTCAAGCCGCACCAGCCAACTGTCCAGTGTGAAGGGGCGGCCTGAGCCCGCTCTGCGCTCCGGGCCATCTCCCCCCTCCCCCAAGGATGGGCCCCCAGTCTCACCTATGCTTACAGCCCATTTAGTTTTCCAACCTGCAAAATTGGGGATTGGTGATAGCACCCACCTCGCAGGGTTATGGGGAGAAGGAAGGGTTACCCTGAGTCAAGTGTTCGCTGTTACTATTCAGTGTTAGAAAACCACGGACAGGAGTGAAACCAACTGTGCTCGGGCCAGGGAAACTACTTCTGGAACGCGATGAACTCAAGAGAATCACCCCTATCCATTCCTTTCACCACCAACAGCAAGAACAGATACTTTGACAAGCCACAAGGTGCACTTTCCTAAGTCTGGGGTCAACGCAAGAAACGAGACGGCGACACAGGAGCCCTCCACATTTCGGGCGGCCCCTCGGGAGCCCGGGCTCACTCACCTGGGGGCAGGGACTGCTTCAGTTTCTCTGCCTTCTCCTTGTCCGTGATGACCAGGGTGTAAAGGTATCTGCTGCACCGAACTTTGAACTTCACATTGTCCTTATTTTTCTTGATCTTGACGGCTACCGAAGAGACCGGAATCAGGAATTAAATGGTATCACAGAAGTGACAACACACAGTTCACCTGCTTTCTGTTTACGCAGCAAAGTGGCACACTTTTGGCAACCACGCTCAGGGCTGTGCTCCCCTCCCCGGACCGTCCCCTCTGTAGAAACAGCCAGAGGCCCTCTAGAACTTCAATAGTCAAGAAAGTGTCAAAAACCTACACTTCCCTTCTATCAGTATGTCACAGCCTAGGGCTTAATTTTACCTGGTGTACCTGATGCATATGGAACTCATGTGAGAACATTCTGTAACCACTTACCCTCTTCTGGGAATCAGTTCTGGGGCCCCGGGGCGATGGTAACTACTTCCTTCAGGATCCTCCATCTAGCCCCAGGGTTATGTGCTAAAGCTTTTCCTCAAGTTTACAAAACCCATTTTCCAGGTTCTTTCCTACTTCCAAAGTCCGTCTCAGGACCACAGCTCAGACGACAGAGCCCCAGGTGTTAACTCGAGCTCAGTGGTGCAAGGTTTGAAGTTCTGTTGTCGGCAGACACGTGTTAGTGCGTTTCCACAGAGGACGACGTTTCATGTATCCATTAAAACCCTGCATTCTAAGTTTAAAAACAGCTCAGACACTCCTGAGAACTCCTTCTCATATGTGCACTTTAGTGTCCATCCACACACGGGTTCGCACGTTGTCAGCCCGCGCACCTGACCAGATGGCTGGACACACAGGCCCTCAGCCCCACAGAAGCAGTAAGTGGACTTACAACCCCCGACTCCATCCATCTCTGCCAGTCCAGCAAGTGGGAAGAAATGAGGCACATCACGAGCAGCAGCGCCTGAGCCTGGCCAAGGCAATGGCTGCCTCAGCCTATGGTTTAGGAATTTCGGCAAACTGGGTCTTCATTCAAACAACCTGCTTTGCTATCTTAACACTCCTCTTAAAGCTAAGTATGCTGCACCGCCCCAGCAGCTGCCCTGCACCTCAGACAACTGCAAGGTAAGACGCGGGGAGCTCTCTAAGAAAAAACGTTTATTCAACACTGTCCTACCGTGCGGTCCTTCCACGTAAGGGCACCCAGCCCCGAGAACCGAGAGTAGCGAGAGGGTCCGTACACCAGTGCTCAGGGCAACGGGATCTGAAACAGCGGAAGGGGAGAAAGCCCCAAGCGCCCACTGCCGGACGCACAGATCAACTGCGGCAGCCCCCACGGTGAGTCCCTGAGTCTCACAAAGGAAATCCTGACAGACGCTACCGAACGTCACCGCACAGAGGAAGCCCGGAGATACTGTCTAAGCCAAGCCAGCCAGGCCACAGGGACAAATGCTGCTGCTGTCACCCACAGGAGGTTTCTCGAGCAGTCAAGTCAGTAAAGCAACAGAATGGTGGAAGCCGGGGACTGGAGGGAGAGTGGTGCGTTATGCTTCTTGGGTGGTTTCGATTTTGCAAGATCACAAGATCAAAAAAAGCCCAGTCAACGTCTCCAGAGCCAGCAAACTGTACACTTAAAAATAGTAAGGTTTTGCTACGCATATTTATAATTAAAAATATTTTTTAAAGTTTACTCAGTAAGTCCTAAACACACTGTGTCCAGGGGAGCACACCGTAAAACAAGAGAGAAAAGACAGTGTTGAGTTTAATCTGTTGAGGATGGCCACCCGCTCTAAGAGCTAGGATCTGAACCAGGCCGTCACCTCAAATTCCCTGGCCTGAATGATGACGGTCACGATAACCTCTTTACAGCATGACTGTATGCCGACAGTGTCACCAGCGGTCCCCAGAACAGCAGAAAGGGTAGACCCTCCTCCTTGTTCCCACAGGTGGCCACCACTTCCAACAGTCCCAGAGGATCAAAGGTCACAGCGACACGAACAGGACCCACTAGAAGGCTCTCCCCAAGCTCCCGCCACTTTTTCATTCTTCCACTGACGGAGTGGTAGAGTCTGGGCCACCCCAGTCCGCCAGCAGGCACGGCTCTGCTTTCACGAATGATCTGATGCTCTCCTGAGGACACACGTCTGAGTGGAAAAGGGAGCTTTAAGGAGTATTTGATGAGGCAGAAAAATGAGGACCCTGGGCTCCCCCCAGTACGGATTCAAGATCTACCCTGTAGGAAGCACGAGCCCCCACACCTCCCTCCACAGTAACAACACGGTGCCAGCAGGACTCCCTCCCACACGGGGCACAGCAGCGGGAACACTCGGGGACCAGGGGCTGGCACTTCACCCAGTGAAAGCTTTGCTGTCGGAGGCCTCCGGGGCATCGTTCCCTTCTTATTTACAGACGCAGGAAACTAGCTCCTACACGTGAGCGGCAGACCGCTTCCTACAGCTAACCGTGCGGGGCCCAGACGGAGGCAGCAGTGGGCCCAGAACCCGACGGGGGGCACCAAGGTCAGGGGTCTGAGACCCACACTTCCTCCTGTAAGGACTCTGCTCGGACACACACCTCTCCTGAACTAACGATGGTTTGTGAAATGCTCACAGCCAGCCAAAGGGAACACACCGCCAACCAAGTCCTCCTTTGGGTAAATGGGATAAAGTCCCGGCTCCCAGGCAGCCAGGATCTGCTTCAACAGCCCCGGGACCAATGCTCCAGGTCTTGGTGAGATCAGGGGAGGGACCCGGGGAAGGCCTAGAGGAAGACCAGGGAGGGACCCGGGGAAGGCCTAGAGGACCAGGGAGGGACCCGGGGAAGGTCTAGAGGAAGACCAGGGAGGGACCCGGGGAAGGTCTAGAGGACCAGGGAGGGACCCGGGGAAGGTCTAGAGAAAGACCAGGGGAGGGACCCGGGGAAGGCCTAGAGGACCAGGGAGGGACCCGGGGAAGGCCTAGAGGAAGACCAGGGAGGGACCCGGGGAAGGTCTAGAGAAAGACCAGGGAGGGACCCGGGGAAGGCCTAGAGGACCAGGGAGGGACCCGGGGAAGGTCTAGAGGAAGACCAGGGAGGGACCCGGGGAAGGCCTAGAGGACCAGGGAGGGACCCAGGGAAGGTCTAGAGGAAGACCAGGGAGGGACCGCTCCACGCGCCCGCGACCACCGTCACCCACCCTTGCAGTTCAGGTCGAGCGCTTACATTTGGCGTCCTTTCGCCGGGCCGTGAGCAGGAAGTCCTTGATCTCCTCGATTTTGCGAGGCTGCAACGCAGAGAACAGGCTCGTGAGCTGCACTGACACACTCTTTACGGTCGTGACTTGACCACCGCCACCAGCCCCTCACGGGGACCAGGAACCCATGACATCGCAAAGGCGGTCCCGCCCCCGCTGCCCTCCCCCGAGAAAGCCCCAGCAGGGGTCACACTCACCATGGCTACGGAGGGAGCAGGGGAGCGCGCGGCCGGCAGCTGCGGAGAAGACCGATGTTAGCGTCAGCGGGGCGCGGGCAGTGGCGGCGACCCCCGCTTCTCCTCCCCACCCTCCCCCCGAAATGCCCACTCCTTCGCACTCCATCCTCCTCTCCCGCACCCTCGGTCCACACCCAAGGTCCCCAGATCTCACCCAATCGTGGATTACCCCGGATTACCCTCTCAGTGCCCCATTCACCGCGCGCAACACTCACAGCAAGCAGCAAGGAGGAGGCCGGAAAAGAGCGAGACTTCCGTTTCCGCTCACTTAAACCCTCCCCCGAAGGAAGCTGGGTACGGTGTCTGCAAAGGGTCAAGAATTACATAGGCGTTCGTCCTTCCCACTGCAGCACCTCTGCCCCCTCCTGGCCCAGATTAATAGTGCCGATCAGGAATAAAACGGGCCGCCTTCCTCCTCCCTGCATTTTCTTTTCCTTCCCCACGCCCACCCCCCACCTTGGCTTTGCTGAGCTTCATCTCCGAACCAGTTTAAAGACCGAACACTTATTACCTACTGCTTTCTTTAGATGTGTGCATTGAGCATCTACGCAGAGATTTTAAATAAAGGGACCCTCCTATGCACATGTTATAACCTCTTTGTAGGGGCTTCTCACAAGTCCTTCTAGTCCCCTTTTCCTAATCTGGCATGAGTAAGACGCTCTTTTCCACTTACTGGAGCTTTTCCACTTGCCTCTTCCAATTCCTTTAAAAACCGGTGCACATAAGGGTAAATTAATACTTCCAGCAACTGACATTTAAGGAGCACTTATATGGGGCATCCCCTCTGCTAAGCACTTTACCCCTGGGACCTCTGATCTTTAGACGCACTTGGGAGAGGTCGGTCTTGTCAGTACCCCAGTTTTAACCGGAGCCTGGGGGAGGAGGAGCGAAGAATGAAGGCTGTGCTTGCAGGGAGAGCTGAAGTCGGGATTTGAATCCACGCGGGTTGGGCAGGTCCCAAGCCCAGGCTCCTGGCCCCTGCTTTCGAAGGCCGCAATTCCTTGGTCCCTGTGGTTCCTCCCAGCTCCACCCTGTGCCTGACATTGCTTACTCTCAGCGGACTCCGGGACACGTGAGGTTATCGATTTTATTTTTATCGTCCACTTTTATTCTATTTTCAACCTCTCTACAAATGTCTACACTTTATTATATTTCTTCCCCCAAAATTTAATAACTGCACAACAGAAAGTAATTGCCGTGTGTTTATTATCACAGAGCAGCCTACCTGAAGAGACAGAGTGCGTCGCCATGAGCTTCACTGTGAACTCACTTCCCCCATCCTTACTTCCCTTAGAAGAGCCCAGCTTCCTAGGAGTACTGGGGATTGAAGGAGGGATGATCCAGCAGTCCTTGCCCCTGGGAGATCCCAAGGTGCTCCAACTGTGCAGGGAGCCTTTTAAAAGAAGCCAAACTGTGTGTGCTAACTACAGGTGGATCTGGGTATTAACAGAAGGAAATGTTAATTGGTAGGAGCCTGAAGGTCGGGGTCCAGCCTGGGAATCATGGGAGCCTTAGCTCTGACCTGAGAAAAACATCCCGAAGTTCCTCAGTCTGACTTTGTCAGTCCTCCTCCATCCCAGGCTGATGACTCTCTGGTCTTTGGTCCACCACTGCTCAGTCACAAGCAGCCACCCTCAGCCCAACCCACTGACACTTCTTGGCTGTATATCCTTCCTTGCCCACACTGCCCCCTCCAATACTAAGTCCCGCCCAGTTTCCACCTCCCCCTGGGGCAGGACCCTTCCCCTCTGACTCCTGTCACTGGTCACTGGTGCAGCCGTTACGTATACAGACCTCCCAATAAACTGTGTGACAGCGTGAAACTTTTGAGACATTTGTGCCAACTTTTCTTTGAAGACAAGAATGGGGCTCAGCATTCTTTGGATAACTCTAGAAATTCAGTATATCTATCTAGCTATCACAGGTACTCCCTGCTGACATTATAGGTTTCTCAAACTGGATGCTCCATCTGAGATCACTCACTAAATGAAGGGTGGATGGATGAAGGGATGGAGAGAGGGAAGGATGGATGAATTAATTAGGACAAAGCACATAGTAGGTCCACAAAATAGTTGTTAAATGAATGCCTGGTGTTTCTCCCCTCTATAGGACCTACAAGACAGGGAGGGACAAGGGATGGGGGAGGGACTGCAACTTCCTTTTGGTAGCAATCCCAGAGAGACAGCTGTTCACCCTCTTGAGTTGTATAATAAGAGAACACAGACATGTACTAACAAAACACAAAGGCAAATTTGCTCAAGTACTAAAAATTCTCTCCAACTCCCCAAGAGGCACAAATAGTAAAATAAACCGCAGCCTCTGAAAGGTGAAGCAAGGAACCTAGAGGGACATCTGCCATGCTTCATGGTCAGGTGAACCCCAGGTACCGTGGTGTGGCCAAAGCCTGCATCTCTGAGGGGGAGCCCGGTGCTGCACAAGACAGAGCCTTCCCCGATGGTGCTGATACACACACAACACAGGAAGCCCTCCCTGTAGGAGATGAAGGCCCCCAGACTTGAAAGCCAGGCTCCCATGGTCCAGCATAGCATGGTTTCTGGGAATATACCGTTGTGGCAGTTAGGGTCTGGGGGTGGGGGTGGGGAGAAGAGGTAGGAGGGGGCATGTAACAAGGAAGGTTAAGCTCTCTGGTGGTCTCGTCCCAGTCTTACCTGTATCCTTGGGGACCCAGACATTCTCCCATTCCAGATGCACACCTTGGGCTCGGGGGCCTTTCAGACCTGCAGGAAGTCGGTAAGCTGGACCCACTTGGAGAGGAAGTCAGCGTGTCAGCTGTGAAAGGCTGGTTGGTTTTGGCGTTCCATCCAACACACATCTGGAGAACCCAGGGTGGTAGTACCAAGGGGAAAGATGGTGAGCAAGGTCCACGGGGGCCCTCGTGGGGCTTCGGTGGGGGAGCTCATGGTCTGCATGAGAATGGGGGGGTAGAGGAGCGGCTCCCCAAGCTGCTCTGTGCGTCTGCCTGGCACCCTGGGCTTGCCCACTGTAGGCATCAGGGCACAATGGCCCGTGGCCGGTTACAGTCTTGCCTCCTTCACTTACTTGCTTCTAATGCAATGCGTGTGGGGTTATGCTACCTCTCTGCTTCCTCACGGGGCTGCTGTGAAGCCTCCATGGGATAAGGGAAGAAGCTAACTGCCCCCTGTTCTTGACTTGCCCCAGGAGGTCTGGAAACAGCCCCCTGCCCTGGGTGTAGTGCCCAACAGTGGACAGAAGGGGGCGCCAAGGCCCTGACTGGAAATGGAAAGCAAAGGCGCAGCCCCTTGCTTGCCGCCTTCTGAAATCCCAGGCTGCCAGGACCTATGTAAAGTACAAGTAATATTTGTATGGTATTTAATACCTGATGGGGTGCTCTGATATCTACTATCTCATTTAATAATCTCCAAGCGGCCCTCAGGAGGCCCGTGCTTTTGGTTGCCGGGCGGACTGGCCTTCAAGCCACCTTGGGTGGGGGGTTGTATTAAACCCTGCGGGTTTTCAGCAGGGATCAGTCTGCAGTCCCTCTGGCTGAACACAGTTACCTGGGAAAAGGATGGGGAGGGATGAAAGAGCCTGGGGTGGGCATTGGGACTGGTGGTTTTTGGGGGACCCAAGATGGTGAGACTAAAGGAATGTAGGTGCCTCCCCTCCTCCAGCCACTCCCCTCACAGTCGGAGAGAACCTCAGGGCCTGGGCTAAAAGCCACAAAGCATGACTGGTTAAACTGGAACAGGGTTTCTCAGACTGGGTGCTACTGACCTTTGGGGCTGGGGCAGAGGGCTGCTCTGTATGCTGTAGGATGGTTACAGTCCCTGACCAACCCCCAGCGGCCAGACCCCCACGATCCTGACAAACAAGCACATTTCCAGACATCACCAAATGTCTCCTCACTTCTTGTTGAGGACCGCTGGCCGAGAATGACAAGACTAGCAGAATATTCTTTATTATAATGGGCGTCTGGCCTGTCTGGGCCTGTGGCCAGGTCACTTCTGGGCACAGGCCACTGTCTTTGCACCCCAAAATCATTTCTCATTTTTGAGGCTAGCCCTCTGTCTGGGTTGCTCCAAGGACTGGTCCCTCCTCCCTCTGCTGCTTCTGCTCCTGGCTCTGGCCTGCTGGTGGGTGGGGTGTGGGCAGGTGGTCACTGGGAACACATGGCAGCCCATGGGCCAGACACTCAGAAGCTTAGGACTAGGATTCTCCTCCTTGGTGGGCTGGAGGCCTGGTGTAGGGGGTGGGTGGGGTGGGAGAAAAGGCTCCATGCCCCTACCTCCCCACCACCTTAAGAGGCAAACAGCCCCCTGCCCCGAGAGCTCAGTGATGACATGGAGTCCAGCCATCTTTAGCGAGCCGGCTGTCGCCCGGCACCGTGCTGGGCGCTATCCTGTCAGCACCACCTTGCGGCGCTCCAGCTTTGTGCCAGGCCCTGCACACGTGTGATGACACAGAAACCAGATCCCATCTGTCTCTGTCCCCATCTCCAGCAACTCCCAGACTGGCAGGGGAGGCAGTGGCGAGTCAGGGCTGTGTGTGCAGTAGGTGGGACCAGGTGGGGGCCGTGAGGGCCTGATCCAGGCTGGGGATGGGGCGGGCCTGGGGAAACCCTCCAAGAGGAAGTACCACGATGCTGATTCACAAAGGAGGAACCCCACCCCGCACCCTCGGAGCAGCCTGCCAGAATGTGCAAACAAAGGCAGATGTGTTCCGGGGAAGCTGGAAGAAGCAATCAGACTTGGGGGGCATCAATCCAGGAGGTCTTCTTGGAGGAGGCCTTGTGATATAGCGTGGGAAGAAAACTGTTTCAGGGCACCTGTGTGGCTCAGTCAGTTAAGTGTCCAACTCTTGATATCAGTTCAGGTTTTGATCTCGGGGTAGTTCTCTGTTCAGGAGGGGTTTCATTCGCTCCTTCCAAGTTCTGGGCCTTCTGCCCATTGTGCGTAGCCTGTGCAACCATCTGTGGCTGCCCTGCTTTGGAGAAACCAGAAGACACGAGGAACAGAAAGTGCTTAGCCCGGCAGCTGGCTCTGGAACTGGTCAACGAATGTGATTCCCAGGCAGGAGTGTCCGGCGTGTTTGCAGAGCCACAGACTGGGGGAGAGGGGCAGACATCCTTCCTCCCCAGAGCTGGGCGAGGCTGGCTGAGGAAGAGCATCCCACCTGGGCTTCTCCAGCAGGGGGAGGGGGGACGACTGATGACACCTCATCACCTCCCCTGCTCCCTTCCACTGGCCCCTCTCAGTCCATGAGCTGCTTGACGGTGTCCCCTCTGCTACCATAAAAAGGATAGATTAGACACCGTCCTCTGGTGAGGAAAACAATCTCAGGCGGGGGAATCCATCTCGAGCATAGAGGATGAGCACCTCTCCTATCTGTCAGTGTGTGCCAGGGTGAGGGGACGTTAGAGGAAGAAAGAGGAAGGGCACGGTCCCTTCAAAGTAAGGGACAGGGGCCAACCTATCGGCGTGTATATATCTCGCATTATGCAGCGGGAGAGAGGAGATCAATAGAGCTGTCAGTGGTTCAGTGCATTCCCACGGCAGATGTCCCCATCTCAGGATGCTCCAGACAGATGCTCCAAATTAAAAACCCGGGGAGGGGGAAAGGGGCTGGAGGGGTGGGAGATAAACACCCTGACAGACCAGAGGGAAGGAAGGGACGCGATGGAGGACCTGGGAAAATTAAAGTCCATAAATCCTGAGGCCCAGGGAGCATCCCGGGTGTGAGTGACAGGAGACCCTTACCTCCTGGAGCCCTGGGTCTAGGGCCCCTTCTGCCAGGTGGGGGTCCTGGGGTGGGGGGGGGCAGGCATTTCATATTAGCGGCATTAATGGAGCCGGGGGGGGGAGGGTGGGGGAGGCCGAGTGATTCTGTTGATACCCCCATATCCTGGGGTGGGGCGGTGCGGGGGTCCTTTGGGTCGGGGGCAGGCCTGTGGATTGCCAGAACTGCACATGGGCAGGGGCGGTGCTTTGCTCCCTAACTGCTCCCTCCCATGAAGCTCTGGCCTCCCCCGCAGCACCACCTCCCCTCTCTGTCCCTGTCTGTCTGCCTGCTCCTCTCTCTCTTTCTCTGGCTCTTGCTGTCTGCGAGTCTGTGCTCTGCCTGCTGGGTGCCCGCTCTCCCCTCAGCCCCAGAGATGGTTGCCGTCTGCCCTCCCCTCATCAGTGGCCTGGGGGCTGCTTCAGCCCCTCCTTCCAGCCCTTGGTTGGCAAGCTTGTGGGGGAGCCTGAGGATGTCCGCACGTCCTTCCCAGAGC